TGCCACCACATCACTATCCATGGATCAAGACTCTCTGTTGTTGATGCTGCTGCCACCACCACGACTACTGTCTGTCACCCAGGGTGATCATGACCAGACACTGGGAGACAGATGCCAGATACCACAACCACCTTCTCCAACCCTGTTGGTCAGCAGGAACAGCAACAGGAAGACAACCCCTACCACACCTCCATCTCCGGGGGCACCTAGCTGCAAGGGAGCCTGAGCAGTGTGGTATCAGGCATTCTGGCCTCCGGGAGACAAGAGGCACGACCAAGGAGGAGGGAATAGATGCTGAGAGCCAGCGCGCAGCGCCAGCATGGATGGCAAGGCAGGAGTTCGCTGTCCCCTTCTCTAGGGGCGGGGAGCAGAACTTCCTATTCTTTGGGTAAATCAGAAAATTGGGTCTCTTATCTCCCCAGTATGTCCTCTGGTTTATTTTTCCTGCCATTGTTTTGCCACCTCTAGAGCCATCCATCACCCCCATGTACCTCATGACCTCAGTAAGCTGACATCCTCTCTGCTGGAAAGTGGGAGATAGGGTGACACTGTTTCCCTTTAAAACCATGTCCCTTAAATCTCCCACAAAGACAATTTTACTACATATGCAAATTTATTTGCTGAAGTGTTTGCATAAAAGGGAATTACCTCTTCTGAGAGGAAACCATTAAAGCCCCAACTTATTTGGACTTTCCATTTTGTTTCACTAAGGAATGCACCTAAATGTTTGGGTCTTTCCAGGGAAGGGACTCTCCCACATAGAGCTCCCCGCTCCTGGCTGATCTCCAGCCTTCGGACTGCCACCATACCCCCCACCCCTGTCTCCTCCCCACTCCCTTGGACATTTGCTCCTTTCTCAGGAAAGTCTCCCCTTCCTTCACAGCAGCCTCAGGTCTGAGCCCCGCAGCCCTAAACACCACCCCAGGTTCCAGCGGGATGGAGTGGGAGGAGGTAATGCCTTGCTGCCCACCCTTACAAGTGCCGAGGGTGGGGCTGGGAGAAGGTGGGGTATGGTCTCACAATGACCAGAATCCTCCCATTCGATTCCTTTTCAGGATTCCCCCAAAGAGAGCTAGAGACCCACCCATTTTTTCTCGGGTGACTGCAGCCTAGATGAACACCTATAGCATCTCCTGGGACAAGAAGTTTAGAGAAGTGAGATTTTGGGAAGATCATTTCTGCATTTGCAAGGTGCCTGTCCTGCTCTGGAAGTCATTGGGTCCCCATTCCTTCATTGTTGCCTGGTTCCCCAGGGCCTTGTGCAAGCAGGAGAGAAGGACTCTGGACTGGCTTATATTCTTTGACTCAGAGTGTCCCTGTGAAGAAATGAGGGGTCCTCCAACTCCCCTAGCACACTTTCACGGTGCCCTAGGAGCTTGTCTGAGCAGATTTAAGCTGAGACAGATGGCTCTCCTTCGCTCCCACCCATTGCATAACTAAGAGTGTGCAGGTGGGGATGCTGTGACTGGTAGCTCAGTGGGTTGGGCATTGTCCTGCAAATCAAAAGGTCGCAGGTTCGATTCCCAGTCAAAACACACACCTGGGTTTCAGGCCAGGTCCCTGAAGCAACCAATCAATGTTTCTCTCTCACATCAATGTTTCTCTCCCTCTCCTTCCCACCCCCCCCCCCGCACTCTCTCTAAAAAATAAAAAAAGTATGCAGGTGGGGAGTTAGCATACATGGGAGGGTGGGGGCTCTGACCAGCTCCCCTGGCACAGCCTTCCCAGACTCCTGCTCTAAGTAGCTGTGGACAGAGGCTGCCCCTCCCTGGGGCTGGGGAGAGAAAGAATGGGGTGCCTCTCCCATTTTTACCCACTCCTGTTTGGGAGGGTGCTGCTGCCCTCTAGCTAACCACCGAGGGGACAGCTGCTGTGCCCAGGGGGCTCTCAGGTGCCTCCCCAGCAACCACACCCCCTGTTCTTAGTAACATCCCTAATTTTATTTTATATCTGCACATCTCCCCAAGCAACCCAAACTGGCTCCTCCCTGGGTCCCAGGGCAGGCATACGAGATCAGGCCCTTGCCCTGCCAGTTACACATTCAGGCTGGGAATATGACCCATCTAGGCCAAGGAGAGTTTTGCTGTGGGCTCCCTGGGAAGTTGCTTCCTCAGCCTTCTAGAAGAGCTTCCCAAAGCCACCCTCCCTGCCCACCCCCCACCCCCACAGAGCTGGGAAGCTATAGCCCTAGATCAAGGTGCTGTACCCCTTCTCGCCACACGAGGGTGCCAGTCTCAGGCAGATGCTGCATCACACTTGCATGGAGAGACACCAGGCTCCTCAGGCCTTTACCGACTGAGCCCAAGTCAAACCAGCCCTGATGTCCATCCTTCCTCTGCACTGGCCAGTCAATCAAGTTGATAAACCCCCTTTACTGCTAATTCAGTGAGCAAGGAGTGCCTTTACAAAAGAAAGCCTCCCACTAACTCCCGGTGCTTCTCAAGATTGTATTCCCTCCTTGACCAATGTGGCTCAGGTGGCTAGATCTTTGTCCCATAAACCGAAAGGTCTCAGATTCTATTCCAGTCAGGGCACATGCCTAGGTTGAGGTTTCGGTCCCTGGTCTGGGCAAGTTCAAGAGGCAACAAACCAATGTTTCTCTCCCTCACTCTCCTCCTTTCCTCTCTCTCTAAAATCAAAATCCTCAGGAGGATTTAAAAAAAAACAACCCTGGCCAGGTAGCTCAGCTGGTTAGAGTATCATCCCAATACACCAAGGTTGCAGGTTCAATTCCTGATCGGGGCACATACAAGAATCAACCGATGAATGCATCAAGAAGTGGCCTTGGCTGACGTGGCTCAGTGGATTGAGTGCCAGCCTGTGAACCAGTCACCAGTTGGATTCCCACTCAGGACACATGCCTGGGTTGCAGGCCAGGTCCCCAGTTGGGGGTGTGTGAGAGGCAATCACACATTGAGATTTCTCTCCCTCTTTCTCCCTCCCTTCCCCTCTCTCTACAAATAAATAAAATATAAGTCTTTAAAAAGTGGAACAACAAATCTCAACCCCTCCACTCTGATATCAATACATAAAAAAATAAAAGATTGTGTTCCTTAGCTACCCCCATCCCTACCTCTGGAGCAACCTCCTGGGCTCGACCTGGGCAATGCAGATGCGCAGGAAGCACAGCTAGACCTCGCAGGGAGGGAGACGGGCAAATGATGGACACCATGTTGAGTGCTACAGTAAAGCAGTGCCAACAGTAACGTACACGGGACGCAGCCAGTGTGTGGGCCTGGGATGGGGCTCTACAAAACCCCACACGAGAGCAGTGCATAAGGGGCTCCAGGCTGCAGGGCCAGGGGTGGCCAGTAGAGAATCAACACACACAGGGGGCTGGGATGGTGGGGATGGAGGGTGCAAGTGGGGACAAGACAGGAGGTGCAGCTGAACAGGTGCGGCCAGGTGGGGCAGAGGTGTGAAATAGGTCAAGGATTCTGGACTTCATCCAGAGGGACAGGGACAGCCAGGGAGGTTTCAGACGTGAACACAGTCAACACAGAGCAACTCTGTGCAGCAGATTCTCCGCAGCGACACAAACGTCCCAAATCTGCGTCGTCTGCTGTGAGAGCCAATGGCCACGGGAGTGCTGAGTGCTTGAAGTGTGGCTACTAATACCGAAGAGCTGAATTTTTAAGTTTTATTTAACTTTAATTAATGTAAGTAGCCACATGTGGTTGGTGGCTACCATGTTGGACAGCACAGCTCTAGCGGAAGGACCGGAAGGGAGAAGACCTGCGGGCAGGGGCGCCAGTGCAGGGGCCGTGGAAGTCATCCAGGTGAGAGGAGATAAGGACCCGGAGACTGGGGCGAGGACAGGGAGGGGAGGGCAGGGGTGCTGGAGATTGTCAATAACTGGAACTGAGCCACCGGTCGTGGTGATGATCTGAATGTGCAGAGGAAAGGGAGGAGGGCACAGCAGGCTCCCAGGCTGGCCCGGTGGCTGGATGCTCCCTGTGTCCTCACTGGGAACAGGGGCCAGGGGTGCACAGGCACGAGGAAACGGCAAGTTCGATTTCGGACGTGTGGATTTGAGATGCGCCGGGACTCGGCATCCAGGTGGAGGCAGCCGGTGAGCAGTTTCAGCTCTGCACGTGGCTCTGGTGCTCGGGGGAGAACTAAAGCTGGAGACAGAGATGTTTCAGTCACCAGTAGTCACAAACCGGCAGCCGTCGGTTAATTCTTCCAAAAGGGTCATTTACTTTTTTTTTTTAAGAGACGGGAAGGGAGGGAGAGGGAGAGAAATATCAGGTGGCTACCTTCCATACACAACCCCACCAGGGACCAAACCCACAACCCAGGCATGTGCCCTGACCAGGAATTGAACTGGTGACCTTTTGGTTTGTGAGACAATGCCCAACCAACTGAGCCACACTGGCCAGGGCTTTTTTTTTTTTTTTAATCCTCACCTGAGAACATGCTTATTGATTTCAGAGGGGGAGAGAGAGGGAGAGAAACATCTATGTGAGAGAGCATTCATCAGTTGCCCCTTACAGGCACCCCAACTGGGAATGGAACCCACAACCATGGCATGTGCCCTGACCAGGAATCGGAACCCACAACCTTTTGGTTTATGGGATGATGCTCCAACCCACTGAGCCACACTGGCCAGAATGATCACTTACCTTTTAATAAGAAAGCAGTTTCATAAAAAATCTGTTCGTTTCCATTCTTCCAGTCCCGCCACAGAGCTCACCACAAAGCTCAGGACAGTCTCCAGCCACAACCACGACGGTCAGAGTCACAGCTCAGAAACTGAAGTTCAGAACGTATAGCATGATAAGGCATATACCAAAGCAAACTCAGGTTAGTCTAGTAAACATTACCAGTCTCCTGGCCAGGGCAGCCAGCTTCCCTGCAGAGCCAGCGTGTTGGGCCCTCGGGCTCCCTTGGCTGGGCCCCCAGTGTCCGTCCCCAGCCAGCAGCTCAGGCCACTGACCCCAGGTCATCTTGGGCAACAAGGGCACCGGGCAGTCACACAGATGGGTCAGACCGAAGCAAACAAGGCAGCTCTCCGAGGAACGGGCTTTCTGCATGACGCCGCGCGGCAGGGAGCCTGGCCCAGGCCTATGGGGTCACGAGGACCGCCGACCACCGTGAGCCCCGGGGAGACGGCTGCAGCAAAACTGAAATCCTGGGGTCCCGCTTGCATCCTGTGCAAAACTCATGAATATATTTGGCCATGGCTCCTTCTAGAGGTTTGTTTCACATAAGTAGTTCCGAAATGTGTTTTTTAAAACACTCTTTGTGGGGGGTAGGGTGTGAATTTAAATTTAGTAATGTGACATTACAGTCCTGGGAAATAAAGTTAATTTTATACTGTTTTGACAAAGCAAGGAAAATGCACTATCTGAAGTGGTATAATCTAATTTTTTCCAAAATTTTTCTTCCCTTCCAAAGGAAGGATTTTAAACGACATTTCCCAAAGTATATTTATTCGAATCTTGGCCCCATGAGATGATCCTTTTCTAATTATTTTTTAAAAGGTGGGGGGAGGAGGAAGAGGAGGGGAAAAATAATTCTTTGATCAAATATGCGTAAAAACCCTCTTTGCCTCCCTTAGAGTCATTATAACGTTGGCCTAGCAGTGCCTCTTAAAGGAGCTGGGGTAAAGAAGCCTGTCCAGCTCTGCTCACCACAACTTCCCCAAGTCTTCTGGGCCACAGAGTCGTTTTCACTAAAGTTCCTGGAGGCCGAAGGAGCATGAGCCCCTTTAAGAAACCCGGCCTCTGCCGCTGCGGAGTGGAGGTGGGACGTCACTGCTTCCTGCCAAATGGTTTTGAAATATTCATCATTTCTCTCAAATGGCAAGGGACAAAATATTATTTCTACTTTTAATTCATTTCGCCTACAAGTCCTGGAACATTTGGTATCTGATAAAGACATTTTAAATAAAAAATATACATCCAACATCGGGAACCGACCGGCAGCACACTGTTCCATTCACCAGCCCGGCCACCTGCGCACTGGAAGTGGCTGGTTCTGGACCCCCAGTCACCGCAGCCTCCAGGACGCCTTCCCAGGTGCAGAGCGTGCTCTTCAGCCCGTCAGCCAACGACCCAGGTCTGTCCCTCTCCATCCAGCTCCCACACTGGGAAGAAAATATGCTGGGTTGTTTTTTTTTTTTTTTTTTTGCAAACCCATGAAGAGTGGTGTCTAAGGAACTGACAGTCTGAAAAGCATTTTGTGGTTCTTTGATTTCCTTGCAAATCTTCACTGGTGCCAACTCCAAAAGATGTACATGACACTCTCTGGAAACCCACCAACTTTCCCCTTAAATGTTGCTGCCATTCTCTAAAGCCTCCATTTACACCAGCGGCAGAGCATATGATCCACTTCATGGGCTTCGGCTAGTTTCTAGCACATTTCTGGGAATTAACACATTTTTGCTTGAGAAAACAAAGGGGCTGTAATGCATTTACAGTTTTCCCTCCTCCCTACCCTGCAATCAGAAAAGTTTAAGAGATGATGTTATTCATTCAAAAATGTATTTCCTGACAGCCCCCCATGTGCAGTGAACAAAACCACAAAAATCCCTATCTTAATGGAGCTATCTGCCATTTGAGCAGATGGCTCAGACAGAGAAGCTGCCAGCTAATATGGTGGCTCTTATCATGAAAACCAGCCCAAGAAGGAGGCAAGTCTACTTCAGCTGAACTGTTATTTTGCAAGGAAGGGGCACAAAGTCACGAAGAGAGAAGGGTTCACACGGACTGTCAAGTGCGAAGGAAGAGCGGCTGTCACATGGTGAAGGCATCTAGACAGAGAGGGGAGGATGGTGGCTCGGGAGACGGAACAGAGCTCCAAGAGGTAGCAGGGACCATATTTGGTGATGGACTGGCTGTGGAAGGGAAGGAGAAAGGGGAATCCAGGACGGCTGCAAGGGCGGGGGAGGCACCACACACCGAGAGCCAGAAGGTGGCAAGAGCGAAGATCATGCGCTGGGAACGAGGCCACCCTCAGCACGCGCCTCCGTGCCCTGGCCCGGCCACCCTCCCTGCCGCTCACGAAGCTCCTGCCACACTAGCCTCCTGCCCTTCCCTCAGAGGTGCCAATCTCACGTCCAGGGCCGGACCTTTTCACCCCCTGTCCCTCTGGCAGGAACACTGTGCCCCAGCCCTTCGCCTGGCTGGATCCTCCTCGTGGGTTGGGTATAGACTCAAATGCCACCTCCTGGGAGAGCTTCCCTGACCACCTCCACCTGATGTCGCCCACAGGTCTCCGTCTCATTGCGCTGCTTTATTTTCTTCCCAGCACCACCACTGTGTGCAATTACCCCATGTGGTTAGCTGTCCACATGTGCATCAAAGGTCCCTTCCCATCAGAGCATGGGCTCTGTGGGCAGGGAACCCTGTCTCTGTTGCCATGTACTCTCCAGCACCCAGAACGGTGGCTGCCCAGAGTAGCTGCTTAGTAAACCCCTACAGGAGAGACAGCAGGACTGATGGGCACTCAGGGACCAGGTGAGGCTGAGGCTGTTGGTTTTTCATTTCAGAACTGCGGCACACAGATGGCGATTTCAGTTCCTGGAGAAGGGGGAGGACCCGGAGCAAGAAGGACAGGTAAGGGAGAGGCCTAGGACAGAGTCCTGAGGCCCTCAGCATGCTGGGAGAAGAAAGAAGGTGCTGGCCCAGGACCCTCGGAGAGGGGTGAGATGGGGACAGGCAAAGCAAGATGTCCCAAGGGAGCGCAGCTGGGAGAAGGGCCTGGATTCAGCCCAGGGAGGCGTCCAGAGCCCAGGCTCCCACACGCCGAGGTCCACATCACCTGAGGGTGGGGGCGGGGATGGGGGTTCCCAAAGTGGGTATTATCCTTTCCCCATTTTACTACTGAGGGGAGGATTTCCGTTCCCCAGTAAGTGGTGACCGCAGGGTGTGGTGGGCCCAGTGCTGTTCCAGAACCCAAGGGCTCAGCCTCTCCCTCCTCTCCAGTCTCCAAGCTTCTCGGGAGTGGCACAGAAGGCACGGGCGGGGTGGGGGGGGGGGAGGGGGCTCGGCAGCAGTGTGAGTGTCCAGCTGTGAGTGTCCGGGAGGCAGCTGAGATACGTGCTGAAAAGAGGCTTCGGAGCAACCACCCAGGGGCTGATGACCTTGACCCGCCGATGCAGAGAGAAGCTGCTGGAGAGGACTGAGGAGTAAGCAGAAGCCGAGGACACGGGGTGGCAAGCATGGGTAACTCTTCAGAGAAGTTTGGCTGCAAAGGCAGACACAGGGCAGTAAGCAGAGAAGCGCTGGGTGAGAAGAAGGCTATTTTAAGGTGGGAGAAACCTGAGTGTGTTTCGAAGCTGAAGCCAGCAGCCGTTAAGGAAGAAACCTGAAGGAAACCGGGAGGAAGAAGGCCGATGGGCACGCAGAAGGGGGTGGGGTGGCGAGGGGGGACACACATCCTCCCTGAGGGAAGAGGCTCCAGAGGATGTGTGCTCGCAGGCCTGGGACAGAAGTGGGGGGAGTCTGGTGTTCTGGGGTCCCTGGGGCCGTGAGGAGCAGGAGGTGAGGGTATGTGAGCAGAGTACAGGGGAGAAAGGAGGGCAGGGGTTGAGAGCCCGGGTGATGAGCAGTAACTCGGCATCGGCAGAAGGCTGGCCTGGCAAGGGGCCAGCAGGGCCTGGTGACCATTTTTGGCACCATCGGTCTGCCCCTGGCTGGGGCTGGGACGTTCTTTGGGGACACTCAGCAGCCCAGGTGCAAGCTCAAAGAACAGGGAGTCACAGCCCTCCAGGGCCGAGGCTCTACCTGGCGGGATCTGTAGGAGCGAAGTCAGGAAATGGGTGGGAGCGGGACTGAGGAAGGCACCAGGGCCTAACCTGAAGGGCAAGGAAGCAGGGGCAGGAGGGGCTGAGGAACAGGGAAGAAGGAGCCAGGGACGAGGCCAGGGGACCCACCAGGAAGACGTTTGAATGTGCAGTTGAGAGAATAGAGGGTCTGCCCGTAAAGCACAGCGCGTGAAGTCGGGGCTCAGAGACAGAGGAGCCGAGGTCGAGGGCGCAGGTACGGGCTGCAGGCTCAGCCCCTCCGCAGCATGTGACACTCACAGAAGTCGCCTGCTTCTTGGAAGGGAGGAACAGTGGCCTCGCAGTGGGATGAGGCTCCTTTGTGTGTGTGTGTTGTCTTCCTATTGTTTTACTTTGCCTAGGTGAGACGTGTGCATGGTGAAGCATTCACACGGTCCAAAGGCTTGTGCTATTTAAAAAAATAACCCTCTTCTCGCTACAATGAGTCCATTGGCCCAGAAGGAACCACGCTCCCACTTTCTTCTGTATGGGGCTCCTGTATCCCCAGGCTGGGGGTAGCAGCGCAGGCAGCTCAGGTGGTCTGTGGGGTCCTGAGGAGGCTGTCCCCACCTGGTCCTCTCTCCTAGGTCTTGGGCCACATGTCCCTTCCTAGCACCCCAAAACTGCTGAGGGCACTGACACTCCTGACCACACGCTCAGTTCCAAAATCTCTCCTTGCCTGCCTCCCATGCCCCTCCCACCTCCTTGGTGCACCTCCTTCACCCCCTTGCCAGCTCCCCCTCTGCTCTGCCTGTAAGCGGTGGCCCCTGCATGCTCAGTCTCCTCCCTTCGTGCTCCAACAACCCCACTCCATCCCAACACGTTCCCACAGCTCCATTTTCCATCTCTAGCAGCACCACAGACCAGAACTCTCTCTGCTGAGTCCCAGCCCACACGCTAACTGTCCACCTAGCAGCTGCCTTTGGATGTCCCTGACTGCCTCGAACTCAACACACCAGAACTGGACTCATCAGCGCCTCCTGTGGCCTCCCATTTGCAGCAGCCAAGCAGGTTTACTGCTACCCAGCGTCTATGCACCCCAGGACTGAACAGGCCTAGATCTGGTGAGAAGACACCCCCGCTCCTTTGGGCCCTGTGGTTTGGAGTCCCAGCCCACCCCACCACCAGTCTGAGTACAGCAGTGACCTAGGCCAAGAACATTCCACACAGCTCGGTACTTCCGGGTTAGCACAGAGCCAAATGGGCCCAGTCACAGCTGATGCAGGGGTTTGGTCTGAATGAACTCAGAGATGACCCCCCTTCCCTGATCGATTCGAGACCCCATAAAGTGAACATCCTGCCTTACATGGGACTGATCACACGCACACTGTGTATATGGATCGCATTTCGTCCTAGCAGAACCTGCACCAGCCAGGCCCGACTTTTCCCCCTCTGAAGGGGAGGGAACAGAGCACCAGAGGGGCAAAGCACCTAGCTGTGGCCGCGCAGCTAGTGAATTCGGTGCCTCATGCGGGCCCAGCAGCAGGGCTCCACTGCCTTGCTCTGGCCACAAGACAGTCCACAGGAGGCTGGTGCAGACGTCCAACCAGGACACGACAGGGAGGAGGCTCCGCCCTCATCCTCAGAGGCCCCGCCCTCAACCTCGGAGGCCCCACCCATGGCAGCCTGAGGACTGCCCCTTTGGCTTTTCAGCCACATGGGCCAGTAAGTTCCCTTCTGCTCAAGCCATTTATCATGTGGGTTTCCTGTAAAATCAGACCAAAATACTGACTGATAACACATCACCGCAGAGGGTGGCAGGCACTGACCCCTCCGTGATCCAGACCAAGAGCCAGGGTGGTGTCCTCCCGCCTCCCTCTGCCCCAACCCCCACATGCACTAGTGACCGAAGCCTGAATCCCAAAGATCGCTCTTATCAGTCCCCTTCCTTCCCAGCCTAGTCCAGGCCACCACCATTTCTGCTAGTTTCTGACCACAACCTCCTTGCTCTCTCTACCTCCAGCCTGCGGACTGAACCTAATTCCCTAAGATCCAGATCTTACCATGGTCCCCCCTTGGGCGAATCCCCCAGGGTCAGTTCCACCCCTCTCCAGGCTGCTGCCTCTCCGGTCTCACCTCCCTTCACACTCAGCCCTAACGACCCTGCTTCTAGGGTACCCGGCCCACACCCCCTGCACCTCTGCCCACACTGTCCTTCCTCCCCCTCCCCCCCCTCACGAACACCCATTCAGTGCCCGCCTCCTCAACAAACCCGTCGCGCTGTGCTCTTGGGCCTGTGGACACCGACACCGGCACTTCTTATCATCTGTGCTAGCTGCAGTTTTGTGGGCGACGATCCTCACTGGACTGGGAGCCCTCGAGCGCCACAGCTCCGTCCCTCTCAGCCCCTGGTCCCCAGCCCTCAGCTCGGGCCTGGCACAGAGCTGCCCTTCCATAAACACTCATGGAGCAGACGAAGAAATGAAGCGGTCCCCGAAGCAGGGTGGGCGACTCCCCTCATCTTCTCTGGGAGCCTTCAGGTTGGGGGACAGTGATAACCTGACGGGATCACTGCGGTGCAGAAAGCCCTTATCTACAGACAAGTACCTTGGGAGTTTCATCCTCAGAAGGACACTGTTGCCTTCATTTTATTAGGAGACCGAGGTTCGGGAGGGTTACAGTCTAGGACTCACTGGGCACGGTTACAAAATCCACTCCAATTTTGAGGCACCTGCCGGGGCTGCCCTCTTCAGGCCCCAGTGCACCTGGTAGAGGGAAGCAGAGCTTCTGCCCACACTGGCCACAGGGGGGCAGCAGAGTGTTGGGTGAGAGTCGCTGTCTGCCTCACCTCCCACACCCTTAGAAAGAGCTGGACCTGAGGCTGGAAAAGCCCCCACTGGGAGAGACTTGGGGAGAGGGGCCCTGGCTGGGGCTGCTGTTTCAGTACCTGCCACAAACAGTTCAAACTGGAAGGGGGTGTGGGAACACCACAGATGCCAGGAGCTGGAAACAGACTGTGTTCCACAAACTTGCATTACCAGCATGTTTGATAACAAGCCACAGAAACTGATGGATCATCGCTGGGGCACCCAAGACTTCCAAATGGCTGACACTGACCCACAGCTCTCAGCAAGGACAGGTCATTGGTCTGTCAGATCACGGCCACCTTATACCAGAGACAGGGCGTGTGCATGTCCTCAGAGGCCGGGTGGGCAGGGGACACAGCCAGCCTGTGCTGCCCAGTGTCCAGGGTATGTGGCCACTCCAGCGCCCAGGACAGACAGTGGTGGCCCGAGGGCTTTCATTCCTGACCTCACAGCTCCACACCCACGAGGACAGCAGGTGGCCGAGTGGAGCGCTGAGAGTCAGCCGCTGAGCTGGAGGGTCTTCAGGGGAGGTCTCACCGCATCCGGGTTTCCCCCAGTCAGCTGTGCAGCATGCGAGGGTCCGGTGCGGTGGAGTCCAGCAGGCTGAGGGCAAACTCCCTGGAGAACAGACCACGCGCGGCTCAGGAATCTGTAAGAGGCAGCCGGCCTCATGTTTGCTGGAAAGAGAGCTGGGCTATGTGGAAGCCAAGGAATGAGCTGGACAAACCCCAACAGCCTTTTCCAGGTCAGGGCAAAACTCGAGGGCTGGAGGAAAGTTAGGGAAGGTCTCCACCCATCCCCTGGCCAGTCTTTCCCCTGATGATGGTGCAGACTGACAGAGCTTGCCGAGGGTCTGGATGCCCAGCCTTGCTCCATGGCACTCGGGTCTGCGCCTGCTCCCCCTCTTCTCGCTCCCAGCCATAGCCTGGGAGGTGGGGTGACAGCAGCACCCACTTCCCGATTTTCCAGATTCTTTTCCTCCCACTCAGTCTGACAGCCTTGACCAGGGTCAGCGCTCCAGTGCAAACAGCTCAGTATCTTTCCCCAGGAACACTGAGGTCACCGCTCCTGACTCTACACCCTGACTCTACAAGCCCTGAGCTAAAGGGACAGCAAAGGCAGAAAGTCGGACAAAGAAAGCCTTTGCCTACCCCCTCCTTCTCCCCTCAGCCCTGCCTGGGTGCCAGACATGCTGATGATGGGACATAGCCCTGCCCTCCACTGAGTCTCTCTGGGCCCCTAAAATCACCCAGACTTGAACCCAAAGGCCAATCCAAAGTCATCACCCTTACTTCTGATCCCTCTGCTCTGGCCACTGGGATTTTTCTCACGCACGCATAGTCCAGGTGACCCTGAGCCCATCCCCAACCTCAGGTTCAGACTAAGAAGCTGAGCCCAGCCGGCTGGGGAGCCACTGCAGCATCTGGAAGGCCGTCCCCAGCAGCAAGACGGTAACTGATGAGGCTGCCAGGAAGTAAGGATAGGAGAGAGGCAGTAACAGGAGAGGTTGGGGTTCTGGTTTCTTTGGGGGTTGTGGGGAGAAGCCATATTCTGCATCAGAGTCTCAAAAAGTAGTAGGAAATGGGGAGGCGGGGACAGAAAGAGGGGTGAGCTAAGGGGGGACTTCGCACTCAGGTGCCGCGCCCAACCCTGAGCTCAGAGTCAGGAGCCCGGGGCCCAGTTCCAGTTCTGTCCTTCACTTGGGCACATCACTTTCTTCTCTCTGTGCTTCCCCACGTGTAAAATGAAGGGTTCGCAGTGCCCATGGAGACTCCGCCACCCAGCGGGGGAAGCGGAGGGGCGCGCAGGGCGAAAGGACGGAAAAGCAGCAGAAGGTACCAGGCTTCATCCAGGGTGGGTGAACCTGGAGGCAACAGAGAAGTCCCCACCCCTCCCCAGGACACAGCTGAAGGAGATGGGGTGTGTCCCCAGGGCCCAGACTGCTTCCTGGTGCCAGGAGCAGACACACACCCCCCTCACTGCCCCGGCCAGCCCTCTCTCCGGAGGGGTGAGGGTGGCATCCTAAGGTGAGATGTCCACAGCTCAGCAAGGCCAGAGTGGGATTAGCACCACACCCTAGGCCGCCCTGGGTAGGGATCACACGTCATCAGCTCCACAGTTGCTTAGCAGCACCCTGCCCACACTGTCCCCTTGCCCCTCACTCACCAGCCCCTCCTCACATGCATGAACTCCTTTCTCAGAAGGAAGCCGGGACACTGCCTCTGCAAGCAGGAAGCAGGGGAGGGGGTGTTAGGAGGGGGAGGATAGAGGCACCCCCCCCACCCCGTGGGTAGACACACCCACAGACCTGCCAGGACCCCCAAGATACAATGCTGAATGGTGGAGAGGGACAGTGAAGGCTCCTCTGCCCAAACCCTGTGGCTCTGCCCAAGGTGGCCTTGGCCTGGATTTACCCAGTCTTCAGGCCACCCAGGCCTTTCCCTCCAGATGGTTCCTGTCCTTGGAGGGACAGAGGCAGGAGAGCCCGATTGATGGCGACCCCACAGCTGGGAGCCGTCAGCCCCAGCCTCCTGGAGAAAGTGCTACTGAGGCCCCCCAGCTGTTAGCGACCTCCACCCTCCACCACCCCCAAACACGCCACAAAGCTCCTAAGCTACACACTCTGGGACACCTCTGTCCATCCCCAGCCTGAGCAGGGGCGGGGGAGTCCCACTTCCCCCTGCATACTTCCCCACCCCCAGGGCCATCCAGACCCCTGGCTCTGCCCTCCCACCCGGCTCACGGTGAGGAATCTTAATCCTTCTCAAACCCTCTCCAGAGACAGGATTGGGGATGGGGGGGGGGAGGGAAGGAAGACGAAGCAGACAAGGCCCAGATTGTCTGAGTTCCTGCCACCGTCTCTCCTCCACCTTCCAGGGGAACAGACAGTGACGGGCCTGGAGTCGGGGCAGGAGCGAAGTGGGTGCGGAGAAGACAGACTCCAGAGTGCACCTGGGCCCCTCCAGACACCCTCTTCCGTGAGCCCTACCTCCCCCTCCCAGGCTGTGACCGCCTGCTCTAGAAAAAGCACTTGCGTAGGGGGCACCACCGCAGGAGAGAGAATGGGGAAGGGACAGCCCCTTCCCTCAGATCCCGGCACACGGGGTGGGGGGTGGGCGCAGCTGTGGGCCCCCACCCCGGACTTCCAGAGGCAGGAGGAAGAAGTGCCGAAGAGCTGACATGACTGCACCCCCTCTGCCCCTTCTCACCTATGCAGCCCGTGGGCCTCAAGGGAAGGAAGCCCAGCCTTGGCTCCTCCGAGGGGCCTTGGCTCGAGCCTGGAGACACCAGCACCCGCGGCAGCTTCCTCGCAGTCCCCCGCGGAGTTTGAGGGCGGCCGGACAGTCACAGCCCTGGAGGTGCAGCCGGGTGCCTAGGAGTCCTCGCTGCCGGGCTCAGCCTCCGGGGATGCGTGCAGCTCACGGGCCGGCAGAGCAGTCAGGCCCTGGGCCCGGAGGAGGAGGTCGCCTCCCAGGAACAGGACCCCGCAGAGCACGAGCAGCGCCAGCACGCCCAGCACCACTGCCTGCACCGGGAGCGGCCCTTCTGGGACCTCCGGCTGCACCCCCGACTGGTTGCAGCAGCTCAGCCAGGCGGCTCCAGCCGTGTGTCCCTGCGAGGCATTCATGCTTCAGCGCCAGCTGCCCAGATGTGCCCTGATGTGCTCGGGGCCGTAAGACGGTCAGATGTGTGGGGACTGGGGCTGGCTGTCCGACCACAGACCACAGGGCGGACCACAAGTATTAGGGAGGGGCCTAAGGGGCGGGCCCCAGGCACCCTAAGCCCCCACCCCTTGTGCAGACAGGCCCTTCCTAGACAAAGGGCTCCTCCAGTGGGACTACAGCCCAGACTTCTGGGCAGCCGCACATCTTCTAGTCCCAGAGGCCCACACACCTATGCAAGCGAACCTGGCCCACCAGCCAAACCCAGGAATCCTGTCCCCAAGGATCTTCCTCCCCCTTGGCAAAAGAAGTCGAGAGATGGCACCTTACTCAGAACCCTGAGAAGCTCCTCCAGATCCCATCCTAGGCGCTGGCTAGGGTTCTGCCAGCTTAGCAGGACACAGGACCAGCGAGCGCCACTGCCTTTTCTGGGCTTTCTGCCCCTGGGCCAAAGCTCAGTGCTGCTAGATGGCCCAGGTGGCTACCGGGACAGGACATGAATGAGCGGCCCCTAAACCCTTCCTATCCTTTGGGAGCCTCCCAGGGCTGGACAAGCAGGCCACTGCCTCCTTGGTCCCACACAGGGAGAGATGACGGGAGGACGGGAGACTTCAAGGCATTCCTTTCCTTTCCTTCCCCCATTCCTTTGCTCAGACCCCAGAGGTCAAGGAGAGTTACAAACCAATGGGAAAGCTTTGAGTCACCAGAGCTTGGGTTCTGCCCTTGAGTGAAATAGCTCCCTACCTCCAGGAAATCGCAATGCCAAAAGGGACGGAGATGCTACTGTCCTGCCCACCACAGGGAGCTTGCTGGCAGCTGGTTGTCCAACAGCCAGGCCAGCGTCGGAGAGTGGAGCAGAGTCTGGCCGCAGAAAAAGAGAAAGCTGGGATGGGGGAGACCCTCCAGCCCAGGTCTCCTGAAAACTCCTACGGCGACCTTGAGCTCTTTAAAACCAAGGCACTGCCAGCGAACGCCTGCATCATCCAAGCCCTCAGAAGAGTTTAGCTGACGGCCAGCGAGGAGGAAAAGGCCCCCCAGACTTCCGCAGGCCAAGCAGGGATCACACACCACTAAGGACTTGTGAGAAGGGGCCTTCCCCATCTCCAAACCCCCGAGAACCTCCCAAGTTCGCTATTCCCCAGAAATCAAGGGCAGAACATCACGAAACCTGTCATGAAGTAGCACATGGCCAAACACCGCTTGGAGAAAAATGTGCAAACGCTTCCTGGAGATCCCGACTACACCTCCTGCTGCAGGCCCGTGGGCATGGTCCCTCCTCCCCCCCAACTGTTTCTCCCTTGGCACCCTCCCTGTGCACAGTGTACTTAGTCCATTAATACTGGCCCAGATGCAAACAAAAACCATTTTAAAACAGAAATCAATCAACACAAAGCACACACTGGAGCTCACTGGTTTGAGTATGCTGGTGTTGAAACGAGCCTGTTACCAGAGCTCCGTCCTAACCACCAACTGCGGCCAACGCGACCTGGAGGAAGCGGCACCAGACCCGTCTCCAGCTGGCCCTCCCTCCTTGCTCCAGAAAGGAACCCCAGGTCAGCTGAGCGTTCTGAGGCGCGCCGGGCCTGTGTGTGCTGTGGGAAGACGGGAGACGGCCTTCGGAGCCACCGTGCAGTAAGACCACATAATGTACGGGGCAGAGACGTCACTGCCTCCTCAAGAAATGAGGACAAACACAGCCACATCTGAAGGCAATGGGTCCTGACCTGTGTCCTCTCTCGAGGACCTGACCATGGTCACTCCTGGGCGGGTGACGTGATGTGAGCATCCAACGAAGTACAAAATCGGTCAGTCTTCATCTTTCTGTAATCCTGTCCCCCTATTCCCCTCGTCGTGGAACAAGGCCCCCAACGCGCACCTGCCTCCTCACAAGTCTGCGGGAAGTGTTAAGGTTTCAGGGCAGAACAATCGTGAGGCGAGGGAGAGATGGCTCGACCCAAGCTCACATTCTCAATTTTATTCACCATCCTAACGACGGGGCTTCTGTACAGCGGAGAAGGAAGGGGGACCCACCAGAGGGGGGGCGAGACAGTGTTGGCCTGACTTAACCGTCAGTGAAGGTCACGAGGCTGACCAGAGCCTAGCAACCCCAAACCCAAGAAGCCAGGGGACAGCCCTTCCAAGCATCATTGAGGACCTGGGTCAGGCTCCAGAGTCCACGGGCCTCACAGCACGATCCCCAGGAACCAAGGTCTACGCGCCGTCCAGGAGCACCCCAAGCCCCAGCGAGACCTAGAGGGCCAGGGTGTCTTTGATGAGCCTGCGCACGGTGGTGGTGACCGAGGTGCCCAGGGCATCGGTGATCTGGAAGGAGATCTTGTAGAGGTAGGGCTGCACGTCCCGCAGGCCCGTGTCGAACACGTTGTCCACCTCCGACTGCGTGGGCATCTTGGGCAGGTACTCGTGCCGATTCATCACCTCCACAATGTTGATGATCTTCTCGCAGAGCTTCTCCCCCACCTTCTCCCGGCAGATCTGCCGCTCCTGCTCTGTGGCCAGGGCGACCACATGCACCTTGACCGTCCACACTTCCCAGGGGATGCACTCGTCTGAGAAAGGCCAGCGAGACTTCTTCTTCTGGTAGAACTCCAAGGACATCTGCCCCAGCCCATCGCCACCTGAATTGCGCAATGCATCCTGGGGAAGAAGGGGCAGGTACCAGATGAGTGGGCCGAGACAGGAGTTCTCGCCCTGTGAGCACCTGCTGCCTACACCCCAGGGAACTCTGCTGCCCTAGCTTTGTCAGTCCCTCAGCGGGGGCAGGGCAGGGGCAGAGGAGGTAAGGATTTGGGCAAAGTGACACAGCAAACTGCCCACCTGACACTGAGTGGTTCAAGCAGAACAACAAAACCTGCCTCGTTGCCCAACTCCTCCGGCTTCGTTCAGAGCTCCTGCTTAAGCACTCACTCGGGGCCAGGCACTCCCACACTCGCCCCTCCCGCTCCCACTCGCCCTCTCCACAACTCTGGGAGGCAGGAGTACTGAGGCCAGTGAGGTCAGGGTCAAGTGACCTTGCCGGAAGTCACAGGCCAGTGGGCAGCTGCGCCAGGGTCTTAATCCACATTGTCTAATTTCAAAATCCTTGCTTTCCACTGTTACACACAGGGCATTCCTTCTCCTTCCACAGCCCCACCCCGTTGGCCCCCATCCTTCCGAATGTACCCGAACGTCTCCTACTCCCCAGGTAAACCCTATTTGCCTTCTCCACCGCCGGTGAAGCACAAGGCTTCCACTTCATTCGCTCAATGACAGCCTCAGCCCATGGCCTCTAAAGAAAGGAGGGGGGACCATAAAGCCCAGTGATCCTTGATTACAAAGAAAAAAGCTTAGGAACAGAAGAGGGAAGGGAGAGAAAGGACACACTAGACCTGGCTACTTCTCCCTCTTCTCTCCTGAGAAGCAAATGGGACCACCTGGCCCAATAATTCTGTTCGTGCCCCGCCCCCCACCCCACCCCCAGGCAGCCAGAATCCTTTCCGTCTGAGTCATGGAGAGCCAACCAGAGGGTAAGGGTGCTTCCCTCAAGTCCTGACGGGACCACGCCACGCCTTACCTTGAACTCCCCGACAACCTTGCGCAGGGCACGGTCCAGCTCCTCCGAAGAGACTCGCACGTAGGTGAAGTCGATGAAGTCACAGTCGACATCCTGGGTGCCCACCGTGCCAATGGAGTAGGTGCCCTCCTTCTTGTAGTGGAACTTGCCCGTGCTGCGGTGCAGGAGCACCGTGTGCAGCACGGCCAGCATGGCCTCCTCCACCTGCCGCCCCTCCACCGACACCTCCAGCACCTCCGAGCGGCAGTTCATCCTGCGGCCTGCGGCCCTCGACGGGGTGGGGGACAGGAGTGGAGACCAGGAAGCTTCACCCCACCCAGGGGCTGCCCTGCAAGAGCAAGAGGAGCCAAGAGGAGCCAAGTCACAATGCTGCCACCTTCGGGGTGATCTGCCCATCACTTCCTCACTTCCCCCCAGGCCCAGCGCAGCCATGCCTCCACAGCCTCTCCCTGCATTTCAGCAGCACCCACTATCACAGAATCTTAGACTATCGGGAGCGGAGCCAAGCAGAGTTTCAAAGTGACCAAGCGTAACCACCCGCCAAGGCTTGAATTCACTGTGGCGTTCACGCAGCTCGCGGCACCACTCGCCGTGCCACACCTGTCAAGCACCAGCCGCGAACCGCAAACGTGGCCCTGCACTTGAGAGGCTGCCAAGACGGAGGAGCGATAGGTGGGTCAATGTCACCATAGCGGCGAGACCACACGTTGGGAAAGGGAAAAGGACGTCTGATTTCCTGGGACCTTGAATGACCAGGTTAAGGATCTGGACTCCGCCCTAAGGGCAATGACAAGTCAGTTCACCGCTGAGCCAAGATCAAAACCGGACGGACATTGGCAAGTTAACTCTGGAACAACCGAGGAGGAAAAAACAGTATGACCACAGAGACTGAAGTAACGCAGACATGAGCCAAGAAAGGCCGTCTCCTCCCCTAGTCCCTAGAGGGAACGGAGCCCTGCCAGCGCCTTGCCTGGGACCCAGTGAATCTGACTGGGAAGTTCCGCCCTCCCACACGGGGCACCCAAACCCACAGCCATTGGCCCATGTGCTGGGAGCAGAGCTGCTGTGCCCACCGTTGCTCCCAGGGAAGCCAGGCCTTGCAACTGCCAGTGCCTGAAAGGGTATTTCACAGCAAAGCCTTCAGACAGTAAAGACAGTAACTCAGGTCCTCTCACGGCAGATCATCCCCTTCAGACAGCTCTCCTGAAGGAAGCTGTTTCTTAGTGCTTCAAACCACTAGTCACAGTTTTGACATCGAGAGCCACACAGAATAAATCTCACCCCTTTTCCACAAACAGGCCTTTCAGATATTTGGAGGCAAGTCTCTTCATCACCCCCTCACCTCTTCTACAGATTAAAGATCTTCATTACCCATAAACCTGCCTGCTCAACATCCCACCCTCTCTCCTCCAGGCCCTGACAGCTCCTTCTCGGTTTATTTCAGTCTGTCTCTATCCCCGGTAAACAGTGGTGCTCACTACTGAACACACAGGGCAGCAGTCAGAAATCAACCTGGCCCCGCCTCTCACATGGCAATCAGCCCAGGGCCACCTGTACTGGCAGTCACCTGTCACAGGTGTTGCCCTGTCTTGTCTCTCCCACTGGGCGGACAGCTCCTGATGGGCAGGGCCTGTATCCTATTCATCACCAGGAACTTGGTACCCGGAACCCAGCACAAAGTCACCGCTCAATTCACCCCGACCCTGGAATTCCAGGTCCTTCCAAGGGCTGCTGGAGTGATTTCCCCTACACTCTGATATCAAGGGTAAGCAGGGCTCTCCTGTTTTCTGCCCTCTAGTTGAACTCCACCCAGCAGTTCCCCATCTAGAGAATCCCAGCTCTGGTCCAGCTCCCCTCTCTTCCACAACTTCCCCCTCTGGTGCCCCCACAAACCTTCAAACAGGCCATATACATCGCTTCGTCGCTTCAGTCCCAAGCCCAGGCTCTTCCCTCATTTTCAGCACTATTTTAGGCTCCGCTTCTCCAGGAAATCAGTACTCCAGCCTCCTTCCCACAGCACCCACCTTTGGTCTCCGATGAGCTTGTCTGTCCTCTCGCCCTCACCCCTGCCTCCGGTGCGCAGCGAGTTCTCCAAATCAGGACCCAGGAAGAACAGTCACTCTGGACCCCCCAGACCCCCCAGACCCAGGTCTGTGGAGCACAGGGGCAGAGACTCACAGATGTCCTCTCAGAGCCAGACTGGGGCCCAGAGCACCCCCATACCCACCTCACGTGTACAGGCTGAAGCGGGATCACTCAGAGTCTGATCATCCCCTTCTTCCTCCTCCTCCTCACGCCGGGCTGCGATCCCCGCAGGTCCGCCCCAACCTCCGCGCGGACGATCGAGCGCAAAAGGACTAAAAGCAAAAACAGAAAGCGTTCGGCTAGGCATCAAGAGACTTAGGCAGGACTTGGGAAAGACTTCTGGTCCGGGTCCCGTTTTCCCCACCGCCACTCCCCGCGAACCTCCACGGTTCGGATACCTGGGGTGGAGCTGACTCCGCAGAGGTCCGTCTCGGGTGGGGCGGTCCGCAACCCACCTGGCCCGGCTCGGGAGTTCGAGGCGCGCCCTCACTCCGGCCAGCTCGGGGAGCGCCCGCGCTTGCCCAGGAGAAGGGGGCAGCTGGTTAGAACGGTGCCCTACCTCCCCGAGCCCGCGACCCGGACTCGCGGGCCATGCAACCGCGACCCCGGCTGCGCCCGACCACCTCTGAAGGAGGTGAAGCCGGCCCCGGAAATCCGTGCCCCGCCCCTGCTCGGCGGATGGCTCCACTTGCCCCAGGGACCACCGGCGGGGGGAGCACGGCTGACCGAGCCTTGACACGAGTGCATCTGCCCGGACCGTTTTACATTCACGCGAGCGGGAAAACATAGTCATATACTTCTCTGTAACTCGTATGCTATCTTGTTCTTGATTATCTCTCGGATTTTAAGATTTGATGGTGAGAAGTAACCCCCTCATTTGGACGACTCCATTCACTTCCACCACCGAGAACGTTGTTGTGTTTTGGCCGGAACTTCCGCCATAGAGATGAGAGGGAAGGAGAGGCCGATGAGCTCTGTGCTGCCTCCCGAGGATGAGAGGAGTCCTCCGCTGCGATCCAGCCCCTGAGGCGGAGACATGGTCCCTAACTGCGACCTCAGAGACCCAAATGGGGCACCGATCGCCCAAGAGGAGGGACATGCAACGTGGAGAGGTGTGCTCGACGAGCCCAGGCCAGTGTGCTGCGTGACGCTGAGTGGATAGCAAAACTTGAGCTTTTCCAGTGCATAATAACCAGGATCCCTGGTCCCACAAAGAGGCTGGAGAAAGGGACTTCTCCTCACTGTGTTATCATCATACAGTCGGTGCTGTACCTTGGCCAGTCTGGGACAGTTCTTGTAAGGCTGGTAATTCTGCCATTGCCTTTGCATGAGCCTCTGGACGTCACTCACCCTTTCCAATTTCCTCCCCTAACCCGGGAACCGTTGTAAGGGCTCAAGAGATAATTCACATGGAAAACCTTTGTGGACTATAAGGTGTTCCATGAATATGAGTGCATTTTTAGTGCTGTGTAACTTCGTGGGAGCAGTGTGGCTCTCCAAGTAGATTGTATGCCCAGGGAAGACATGGGTTTTTCAGTTCCTCTGTTACTGCCACTGGACCTGGTGTGTCCTGACCCCAGCAAGAGGCGCTCCTAAATTGTTTACTTGGGGATTGAGATGTTCATTTTTCTAACACACACTTTCTCTCCCAAAATAATAATACATATCATTTATTGAATGGAATGGAAAGGGCGTGATTGTAAGTATTTTGTATATGTTAATTAATTTAATCCTACAGAGATGAAGAAATAGATGCTGGGAGACGTTGTTACTTGGCTGAGGTCACTGGATAAACGGCAGAACCTGGAATTCAAATGCAGGACTCCTTACCTCTGCAGTTCTCTTTCTGGTCTCCCCACTCTCCCCCTCCAGCACACCACCACACTCCAGTACGCCGCCCCCAACACCTGCTCTCCAGTGGAGAAATGCCTTGATTAGTAGTAGAATTTGCCAATTTTTCACTACAGCCAATTTCAAGCTACAAGCCATCACTGAATGCAGAGTTCAGAATGAATGAAAGATTACATTCTAACCACCAGAGTTACAATTGGCTGTTGAGTACAAGGACCAGCTGGCTCCAGCATACCATTGTCACCTGCCTGCCCTTTAGGCTTCCTCCTCCCACCCAGTTCTTCCAAACCCCCCTACTCAACCCCCTTTTCTGGCTGATCTCCCCACTCCATCTATTCCCTCTCCCCTTCCTTCCCGCCCCCCCCATAGTTCTGTCCCATGCAGCCTTGGGCCCTGGCCCGTCTCTGTCCCAGCTGTGGTTATCTCTCCCCAGGCAGCCTCAGAGTACCTGCAGAGCCCGAGAAAGCTGCCTGCCTTACAGACCAAGCAACCTTTTCCGGAGCCTGGCCTTACTTAACCAGGAGAGAATCGGGATAAAATACTAAGAGGGGAGGGTCTGCGAGGAGCCGAAGGATAAGGACCCTGGGAGGTTAGAACTCTGGGGTAGGGGGGACCAGAGCCTGATTCCCAGGCACTGCAGTGAGTGAGGGGAGTGACTGACCTCTTTCTACCTCCAACACAGTCTGTGTGTCTCAGGGCCCTTTGCTGCCACCATCTCGACATCATCATCATCTATGACATCATCATCATCCATACCACCATTCACTGAGACTTCCCAGGCACCAGGCCAGCACCTCACATGCACCCTTGCATTGATTTCTGCAACCACCTTTGAAGAGAACTATTACATCCCCCCAACTTACACAGAATGTGACTGAGGCTTGGGGATATGTAGTGACAGGCTTTAATGGCCGGTTTTATGTGCTGGCTTGCCTGTACCACAGAACGCCCAGACACCTGGTCAGCCATTATTCTGAGTCTGTCCATAGGGTGTTTCCGAATGAGATGAACACTTGAATCCCTAGGCTGAGTAAAGCAGATTGCCACCCCCAGTGAGGGTGGGCCTCATGCAATCACCCCAAACAGAATGAAAGGCCTGACCCTGGCACGGGCACCTGGGCATCTCCTCCCACCTGACAGCTTCGAAGGTGGGACATTGGTTTTTCCTGCCTTCAGACTTGAACTGAAATGTCTGCTCTTCTTGGTCTTGAGGCTCCCAGCGTTTGAAACTACACCTTCCGTTCCCCTGAGTCTCCAGCCTGCTGACCGCAGGTCTCGGAACTTGTCAGCCTCCATACTGGCATGGGCCAATTCCACGTATCTCCTGTTTGGTTCTGTTTTCCCGGGGAACCCCGACTAAAGTACTTGCCAAGGCCACACAGCTACTCTTTCCTCATTCCGCCAGTCCTTTTACCCATTCTCGTCCCTACTCCAAAACGCACCCTGTCCATGGAGCCTTTCCTGCCTGAGAATGAGGCTGAATCCTCTCACCTCTCTTATCTTGAGCTCAGATGCTGGCCAAGACTTGCCTCCTCTTACCTTTCTGAATCCTTATCAGGTAGTTCTCATGATGCCTCTGTCCTTGGGTCCTATACACATGAGGGTGGTCCTGCCAGGGAAGGCAGGCCTTGGTCAAAATAAAGAGACTATGTGGAATGAATTCTCCCATCCTATGCCACTACCCCTGATGATCAAGATGTAATCATTCATTCATTCATTCATTCATGCCGCACATATATAACTGTCCACATGCTAGTAGGCCCATGTCGTTCCAAGGTGGACAAGTCACAACGCTGGTCCTCTGGGAGTTCAGAGCCTTGCAGAGGAAATGGACCAGGAGACATCCCTGGGCAAGAGAATACAACAAGTGGCATGAAAGAAATGACAGCAGGTTATGCAGGGCCAGAGGGGGCCAGCACGGAGGCCGCAGCTGTCACTCCAGAGAGATGTCTGAGGCCTCGGTGGAAAATGAAGTGTTTGGAGTGAAGAGGAACCGTGCTCTCAGCAAGCTGGGAGGGGACGGGGCACCAGAGGAAAACCAGCACAGCTGCAGAGAACACAGGACCACAGCCTGTGGAGATGGGCAGGAAGGGGTTTCTGGAAGGTGATTCCAGAAAGAAGTAGGGCTACAGTGAATTATTCTGGGGAGGCTTCCCGGGGAAGAGGAAAGAAAAGAGTTGGGGAAAGAGGTCTCACTGAGGACCGAGGGTGCAAACTGAGGGTTCCGAGGCAGGAAAGGGGAGGGCTTCTTGGCCAGAGCCGAGCCACAGCCAGCAGGCGGATGGGCAATTGGCTGAGGCACTCTGAGCCAGGCCTGCAGCAAAGGTCAGTGGAGGGACCTTGGAGGCCCCTTGGAGGGACCTTGAGACCTTGGGAGTAGGCAGCTGGCTGTGCATGATGAGTGTGACCTCGGATGTCCCCACCCATCCTAGTGCACGCCCCAAGGGAGAGCCGATCCCTGAAGCTGGCCCTGCAGGCCACCCCCAGCCATTCCAGAGCTGACCCCTGTGGCGTCACACGGATGACTCAGGCCCCAGCAACAACAATAAGTGGGACTGACGTCAGGCTGGGGGCTCCTGACGGTGACCAGCCTGGCTGGGTGGCCAGCACCCTGCCTGCTGACACTCTCACAAGGCTGGGTCTCAGGGGTGAGGAGGACCAGCTGTCCCCTTCGGACACCTGCCTCCTGGAACCCTGGGCAGGGGCTCCTCGTTCTCCCACCCTTTCTGGGATGTCACTCCCAGCCCTACTCCTCCGAGGCAGAGGAAATGGCTGGGCGGACGAGAGAGTGACAGAGAGCGTGAGAAAGAGGCACCTCCCAGCCCAGCATCACCAGGCAGCCTCTAGACCTGGACTGTCACGTCTGCTGCCAGTTCCCCTGGGGGGCTGGGGGGGTCTGCCCTTCCACGTGGGGGAATGGAGGTGCACCTCTTCTTCTGGGAAGGTCTGTTTGTCCTTCTGGCCAAGATGGGGTGGGGATGAGCCTTTATTTCTGTGTTAGTCCCACAGGGGTAAGAAGTCCTCTCTCCATCCTGCAAAGTCTGTGTGTCTGTTCCTTTGGGAGGCATGTGTGTCTGTTGTTCTTTAGGGCACAGGATTCTGTGTAACCGTTCTTGCAAAAGCAAAGGGCCATTCACCTACCCTTGTCAGAGAGTCTGTCTCCCTCTAGGGGCTGATTCTCTCCCTGGTGGAGCGGCGGACATCTCTGTTGATCCTCATGATATCCCAGTTACATGGGATGGGGTCCAGGTCCCCTGCTTGGGCTCCCCCGGGGTGGGGGGGGCCTTCTCTCTGATGTGCCAGACTAGGAGGGTACCCCGCCTGCCTGGCTTGCAGCCGGACACTGCCTGGCTTGCAGCCAGACACTGCTCCCTGCTAACACAGAGTGCAGCCGGGCAGCTACCCCACCCCCAGCGCTCTGCCCCCTGGCCCAGCCGCCAGTCCCAGTCCCTTCAGCCACGCCTGAGTAGGGGCTGGACAGTGCCAGCTCCTGAGTCAGACCTTGAGGAGACCTCAAGTGGCAGGGGCAGGGTCCGCAGCAGGCAGAGCCAGGGTTGTGGGGAGGATGACTGGAGCATAAGCCCAAAGGCAAGGAGCGAGGGCACGTGGCAGAAGCCAAGGCCAGAGTCTCTGGGGCCCCATAGCCTCCAGGGCAGCTCTGAGTCCTGCTGGGGACCCTGGCATGTGCCCCCCCCCACCTCAGAGTGTCCCTGGCTGTGTGGGGAAGGACATATTGGGGGTGGGGGGAGGGGGCTCTTACTCAGCTCTGCACTAACTACTTCCTGTCCTCACCCCAGGGAGCTGGAGGTTTCAAAGTCCCATCAGCCAGATGCACCCCCTGCTGGAGCCAAGGCAGAGCCTGGAAGAAGCCTGAGCCTGGAGCTGGGGTGGAGGCAGAGGTTCCAGGCAGGGCCTGGCCGATCCAGAGAGGACAGAGCAGCTGCTGGCTGAGCGGTGGGGCTGCAAGGCCAGGCCTGGCCTGGGCTACAGGGCCGATGGACAGAGTCTCACCCCTTCAGCCTTGTCTCCTGAGAAAGCCCAGTGGCCCAGAGTCTTTGCGGCAGTCAAGGGCTTGGTGGGCACTGTGGCTTGTCCAGGTCTAACCTAAAACTTTCTGGGACTCACCAGGCCCAGCTCCACACGACGGGAACCTAGCACTGCCCCCAACACACAGCTGCCTCTTGGCCACAAAAGAACATCACTAGCAACCTACTGACTATCCCGTCACAACGACCTTCAGCCCCTGGCAGGTTCTCTCACAGGTTTCCTTCTGTAGCCACAAAGCTGCCTGCTGCACAGCCCGACACACTGGACATCAGACCCGACCATGTGGCACCGTACAGCTCAAGTCCAGTGTGGAAGTCAGGTTGCCCATGACCTTCAGAAGCTTCTCAGCCGCCTCGAGGCCGACCCTCACCACCTCCCTCCATAACCAAGTCCTAGTGGCTGGAGCCCAGGTGTGGGGCCGCTTCCTCCATCCCAGTCCCCAGGGAAAGGCCATTAGGCACAGACGCCTGGGGTGCACAGCACCCACTCAGACCCTAGACCTCAAAGCTACCACCACCCCCTGCCTGCCTGTCACAGTGGCACCTTAGGGCTAAGGATGGGGCCAGGGCCCCTAGGCACCGGGCCCAGCGTGGGTGGGATGGGGGGGACACAGGAGGCAGGCTTCCTGGGTCTCCGTGTGAAGACAAACAGCAGGCTTTGAGGCCTTGGAAAATCCCGCCTGGGATTCCAGGCCCTGCTAGCGTCACTGCCTTTTGACTATTGTCCCCGTCGGAAACGGGCCCAGCCCCCGGCCAGCCGGGACAGAGCGGCCATTGTGAGGCCCCACCAGGCTCAATGCCCCCTTGTTCGCCCTCCCAGCCCCTAGCAAGGCTTGGAGGCCAGTTCTTCCAGTTGCTCAGTAGAAAGAAAGGGCCTGTCTGCAGGCTCCGGCCCTTGGGCGGGGCAGGGCGGGGCAGGGCGGGGCTGCAGAAATCAGCCCCCTGCCCTGTACCCCAGTAGCTGGAGTTCTGAAAAGGAGCCACCATTCCTGGAGCTTCCTTTATACCTGAGGCCCTGGGCAGGGAGACCTAGTGGCTAGGTACACCTAACTCAGCCACTTACAAGCCAAATGACCTTGGGAAAGTCATTTCCTTTCTCTGACATGAATTCTCCTCTTCTGTAAAAACAATAGCTATTATTATTGGGTGTTTGCTATGTGCTAGGCACTGTTTGAAACACTGCATGCATTCATTCATGTAACCATTTTAGCAAGTTTATGGAATAGGCACAATTATTTTTCGCCATTTACAGATGAAGACACTGAGGCACAGAAAGGAGAAGTCACTTGCCCCAAATTCCACAGCTGTAGCCAAGATTTAAACCCAGGCAGTCTGGTTCCAGAGTCCTTTACCATCTGCCATGAGGTGAGGATAACCACACTTTCCTCACGGAACGATAGCGAGGGCTTGAAATAACTGATACATGAAAAGAACCCAGTGGGCAGTGGAACATAATGTGTGGTAGCCATCATCAGTACTGCGGGGCTGAGAGGTCTCTAGGGGCCAAGATGCTCCACTGCCCACCCCATTCCCCAAGCCTGGCTCCTCCACGGGCACCTGAGTGGTTCCTTCCCTTCCCCAGGAGCTACCCCGTGCTCCACGTCCGTCTGTGCAGGGAAAAGGCAGGTCATGGAGGAGAACGCACAAAGGCAGCAGCACTCAGTCCACACACAGCTGGTGCGAGATTTCCCAGCAACCTCTGCTCCTAACCATGGAATCGCCACCAGACTTACCTCCCCTACAACCCCCCAGGCTGAGGAAAACGACTTCTAGGAGAGCAGCATGGAGTTGAAAGCAGGGCTGAGAACGGAGGCAGATCTCCTGACACCCCGGCCCCCTGCCTAGCCAGGTGCTGCAACAGCAGCTCACTCAGGAGCTCTGGGGAGGGGGCGGGGCGCAGCAGGGACAAGTGTTCGGAGGCCCACACCCGGCAGTCAGTGCGCACAGACACCAGGGCTCCCCCGTCACCACCACGTGGACCATTCAGGAGGCCTGGTGTTGGACTGTCTTCCCAGAACCCGAGCGAGGGCACGTGGCTGGGCCTCCTTGAGGACCCGCAGGCTGACTGGAGCCCTGGGGAAGGCCCTTGACTCTGTCCGACTCCTGCGCAGAGCCCTCTCGTGCTTGACTTCCATCCAACCGGGGCGGCCCTCACCCAGTCGGAGGCCCAGGGGAGGCAGAGACTCACCCAGGAAGTGGCTCCTAGGCCAAGGACCCTATGGGTCGTAAGGAGCACACGTGAGGGGCACCGCCTTCCGGGGCCTCAGGAAGGAAATTGTGCAGCTAGACAGTCACGGAGAGCAGTGAGGGGCGGGATGCTGTACGGCTGCTCCCTCGGGCCCCAGGTGGGGGTCCATCGAGATTCATGTTTCTCAGAAGAGTGGCACCCCCAACCACCTGCAGCCCTAGCACCCGGGTTCTTGGTAAAAGTTCAGATTCACAGACTCACCCCTCACCAAATTCAGGTCTTTGGTGGAGTCTGGAAATCTGCATTCTAAGCCAGCTTGACTAAGCAACTGATGAGGTCTGAGGTTGGAAACCTACCAGAGGGCAGGTAAAGACCTCAGAACAATCCTCTTGCCAAGAAGTCAGGGCCTGCCAGCAACCTGGGACCTGCTGCCAGGGTGCAGGGCACTCGGGGAGGAAGGCTGAAGATGAGGGTGCCCAGAACAGGCTGAGCACCACACCCACACACCCAGATTTCCAGCAGCACCCGAGGCAGGCTGTGCCTCTCCCTGATTTACAGACATGGGAGCCAGATCAGACATCCTTGCCCCAGGTTAGGGCTGCACTGCTCTCATCCCAGCCAGCCTCCACTGCAGGCCCGTCCACAGACAGGAGAGCGGGGGCTTTCTAGGGTCCGAATCTAGTCTGAGTGCTTCTGCCCAACAGGCCCGTGAAGCAGACGCCACTGTTATTCACCGGCCACAGACGGGTGAGCGGAGGCCTGTCAGTTCAGGCTGGTAACTCACGAGGCTTATCCGGGCGCCGCTGTCTCTCGTGTTGTCATGGAGTTGGGGGAGGGGCATGTCGGAGATAGGATCCCAGTTTTAGCTACATGTCTATTTTTTATTCAATATATTAAATATATTAATCAGAAAAGTCACATACTATAAATCCAGGAAAATACACAAATATAAATGTCAGAATCTGTCACGTGTCTTCCTCCTAGAGCGAGGTTATGTACATGTGGAAGGAGGCGGCAGAGAGAGCCAGTATGGAAGAGGCTGGGAAAGGCTGGTGGGGGCCCATCCCTCCCTCTCGACTGCCCCCCCTCAACCTCTTCCTTCCTGTATTTACAGCAACATTTGGCTTATTTACAGCATGGCAGTGTGTGTTAAAAATGGTTTATCTTACAAAAACACGAAGGCCAGGGCTGGGATGGGGGGTTAAGACAAATAGTAGGGGTCTCCCCCAAGAATGCATCCCCCTCCCACAGGGGATGACCTCCCAAAGCAAGTGAGGAGGCGGGTCAGTCTGCAGCTGCAGCCCAGGCAGGGGGTAGTGCTCCGGGAGTCTGAGGACTGTGGGCTCAAGGCACGTGGGGTGGCGTGGGAGTGCGCGTACACAGGCCGCGTGTTCCTGGGCTGGGTCAGAAGGGCAGCGTCTCCATAAAGATCTTGTCGACAATGGGCGGAGGGGGCACCAAGTCCTCCAGCTTGAGGTAGAAGATGCGCTGCAGGCCCTGCGTGCACAGGGTCCGCAGCTCAGGCAGCTTGCCCAGCAGGCGGGACAGGCGGCTGGCCGGCTGGCACTCGCCTGCCACGGCTGAAACGTGCTCCTTCAGGCAGCTGGCGATGCGGTTCTGCAGCTCCTCCACCCGCCGAGGCTCCTGCAGCCCGTGCCGGTCTGTGAGGAAGGCAGAGGATTGACCACCCATCCGAGGACCGGACCTCCCCGAGACCTGGCCTCGCCCGCCTCCGGAACTCCTCCGGCACTTTGCAAAAGCACGCTCACGCACATGAGCCCATCAGAAGTCTAGGAAGGCATTATCCTCATCTTCTCAGGGAGAAACTGAGGCCCAGAGAGATTAAATGACTTGCCCAAGGTTAAAAAAAAAAAGAGTGAAAATCCTAGCCGAGTTTTCTGATGAGGCCAGTGGTTGGTTTGTCTTCCCCCCAAACTGTCCCGAGGAGCCCTGGAGCTGAGCAGAGGTGTCCTGGAGGCCACCTTCAGGGAGAGCTGGCCTCAAACCCACCACTCCCTCCTCTGCCCAGAGAGCCTCAGGGTCTGTCCTATATAGCTGGGTCTCCTGTGAAATTTAAGTAAAAATGGGAAAGGGGAAAATTCGGGTGCTTTACAAAATAAAACAGAGAGTTCTGAAAACCTCCACATTTAATGCCCAGAGCCCACCCTGCATAATTATATTTACATAAAGCGCCCAGCAGGCAGGCACAGTAACCCGTGCTGTTGGAAGTCAGGACACCCCTGGGGGAGCTGGTGACTGGGAGGGACACAAGGAGGGCTTCTGGGGCACTGGTCATGCCTGCGTCTGACGCAGGTGCTGGTTACATGAGGGTCCTTAGCTTGTGCAAATTTATCCTTTGAGCAATTACACAACATAATTCAGTAAGACTTTAAAAAGAAACCACAACCTAGGCCACACACAACACCTACACAGTCTGGACCTTGGGTCAACTGGGATCATTCACAGACTGGCCTGGGCCTTGCGGTCCGATGCAGCTGGGCCCGAACCCCAGTTCTGCCCAGCAGGGTTGCCCTCAGCAAATACTAGCCTCTCTCTGCATCTAGTCACCCTAACTTCACAATGTGGGGGCCGAGGAGTGTCAGACTCCAGTCCACCCAGGGCCCTCGAGTCCTTCCCAACCCACAGGACTGGCCCCTCACCTGTGATGAGGACAAGCGCGGACAGGCAGGCGAAGGCAGGCACGTCGACGACCAGGCCGTGCAGGGACCGAGAGAAGGCCAGAATGCTGTCGATCCAGTCGCCGAAGCCTCGCGTGCACTGCAGCCGGTGCAGCACCAGGCCGGAGCAGAAGATGAGCTTTCCCTCGGCTGGCTTCGACCTGGTGGGGGAGCGGACAGGTGGCGGTCAGGGGGGCTCCCGAGCAGGGCAACGGGGGAGGGGCTGGGCGGAGGGCAGGCAGCTCACCGGTAGGCCAGGCGGAGGATGAAGAGCTCCAGGAAGGCCGACTCCAGCAGCAGGTCCCGGTCGCTTGCGCACAGCTCAGCGAAGCCGGGGATCTTCTCGGCCCACTTGCGGATGACCTCCAGGGACCCCGAGAGCAGGTCGTAGAACTGCCGCACGTCCCCAGCATCCTCCTTCCCAAAGTGAGGCAACGCCAGCTCCTGGAACTGGGGGGCAGCCCAGGGCGGGGGGTCAGGGCGTAGGGCCCTGGACAAGGCCCACCATGCACAGCCACGTCACACCTCAGAGGCCAGACCCCGGGGGTGAGAGAGGACCTGAGATGCTGTCCACCCCGTGCCTGCGGTTCCAAATACCCACGGTGGGGGCTGCTGGAAGGAGCTCATTTTCCTGACTGGGCACCCACCCCAGGGGGTGCATCTTCCCATCTGGTCAGCCCATGGGAGCTCCTCTTTTCTCAGCCTGTCCAGCTGGGGAGGGGCCTTTCCTAAGGTGCACAGGCCCTGGGGGTGGGCTGGCAGGGCTCACCTTGGAGTAATCCAGTTTGGCTGTGCTGGGCCCCGAGTCCAGGTGTGCCCGGACCAGGGAGGTGAGGAGATTGGCTGGGGAGACGTCTGGGGACTGCCTGGGCTTTGAAGGGAGCCGCCCCCGACGTCCCTTTAGGCTGTCTGTCCGGACAACTGCGAAGAGATGGCAGGGGTGAGGAAGGGACGAAGGGACGAAGGGATCCCAGAAAGGGCCTCTCTGTGTTGCACACAGCTGGGAAGCTCCAACGACCTAGAGCCCCTGAGACCTGGGGGTACCCCACAGGGACCACTGCCCACATGGAAGGCAGGTTGACTGGGGGTGGGGTGGAAATATGGTCCAGGCATGCCCCCCACTGCGGCCCACCAGGACGGATGCCGCCACCACCCCATCAGGCCTGCCTCTGTCCCAGCCACCCACCTTCCTTCACCATGCCCACAGCCAGGCACTTCTGGAAGCGGCAGAACTGGCAGCGGTTTCGCCGCCTCTTATCCACAGGGCAGTCCTTGTTAGCCAGGCAGATGTACTTGGCATTTTTCTGCACTGTGCGCTGGAGGGGGGACAACACGGAACAGGCTGTCAGAGCGTGGGGAGGGGGGAGCCCAGGGGAGGGGACCGTCCAGATCCTGCTGCCATCACAGACAAAAGCGCTCTCTGTTCACAGCTATTTTTCTAACATTTGGGTGGCAGGGGAGGGAGCGGTGGAAGGGTGGGGGAAGAAAACGTCTTGGGGACATTGGGGGAGGTTCTGCATCAGGAGGAAGACCCCTGGGACACCAGATTAGGGGCCATGGGCCCCCTGGCAGCCCAGGCACCTGTACTTCTTATGTGCCTGCATCCACCTGTCCCTCCCTTGGGGCAGACGAGCAGGGCCGAGGAGGGGTGGGGGCGGGAGCGCGGACGGGAAGCTAAGCAAGCACCCAGAGCGGGGACAAACCCAGAGCCTGTTCCCAAGTCCACCCCCAGCCCTCAAGCACCAAGCCCTCTTCCCAGCTCCTTTCATCTCATGCCAGGAACACGAGCGCCTGGGCCCCTTCCCACCAGGACCTCGAGTGGGGGAAGGACGGCAGGAGAAAACCCCGAGGCTGGCCACTGGGACGGACCCCCTGGTACCCCTGCAGCCCACACTCTCTGCCCATCGCTCACACCTCCCTCCACTGCACTGTGGTCACACAGCCATGAGTGCCCTAGTACACACATGAAAGGTCCCAGCCCCATGCCACCTCCCAGGGCCCTGAACAGCAGGGCTGCACCTCCCTGGAAGGCAGGACTAGTAGCGAGAACCCAGGGGAGGCTACCACAGACCCCACTGGAGGGGGAGACCAGCCCATCCCCACTCCTCATGAAAAGCCACACCCAGGGCAGCCCAATACCTTGAAGAAGCCCTTGCAACCCTCACAGGTGCGGACACCGTAATGCTGGCACGAAGCATTGTCACCACACACGGCACAGCGGCCCTCGCTTCCACCTGGAGCCCCACTCCGGGACTTAGCTGAGGTCACAGGCATGTTCAGCATCCCTGGGCCATCAAGGCGTGGAGAGGTGGGCACCAGGCCTGGGAAGGCCGTGGGCATGGAATAGCTCTCTCCCTCCATCAGCTGGTGGGTGGCCTGAGAGGGGAACAGCTTCAGGGGGCTCTGAGCCAGGCTGGGGCTGGGGCTGGGGCCGGTGGTGGGGCTGAAGGAAAAGAAGGCTGGCGGCTGGGGCGGGGCAGGAGCCTTGGGCAGCTGCTCTGTCCATGCCCGCAGGCTTTCGTAAGTCTGGCTGGGTGAGAAGGGGCCAAAGGAGCCGTCCCAGGGAGAGAGCTGGGGTGGCTGAAGGCCGGGCGTGGGTGGAGATGGGGCCGAGCAGGGGCTGCCGTAGTAATCAGAGCCGCTGGAGGACAGGGTCTCATCTAGGGGGCCGCTCAGGGTTCCGGGGTAGCAGCCGTACACCTGGAAGTCCTCAAACTTGAAGGAAGCAGAGGCAGGGGAGGTGGCTGAGGATGATGATGTGGAGGAGGCTGAGGAGGAGGCTGAGGAGGATGGCTGGGCTGTTCCCGGAAGCTGGTACAGGAAGGTGTCAAACTCCCCTGTGTAGCCGTCCATGAAGGTACTGAAGCTGGGCAGGGCAGTGGGGGCAGTGGGAGCCGCTTCGGGGCTGGCCAGGTCCATGGCAGGCTTGCTGAGCTCGGAGGTCAGGGGGTCACTTGCCAGGTGGTCATGGGGTCCCGGGCTTGGTGCTGGTGTCCCATATTGGGCTTGGATACAGGGCATCTCTGGAGAGGGAAGACAGCAAGGGGTTGGCAGGGGGCAGGGAATCAGTGAGGAAGGCCTGGAGCCTGACCTCTAAGTCCAGACCCCCGAGCGGCCAGGTGGCAAGAATGCCAACCAGACCTGGGATCCCGAGGTTTCAGGGTCACAGTCCACCACAGAGCCCAGGAATCCTAACCCCCAGCCACAGTACCATCTCAACCTCCTTGTCACAAAAAACTGCTGGGCAAAGGCCCAGTGAGAGTGGGCTCAGTTGGAAGGCCGGCCACACCCAGTCAGTCTGGGAACCCTAGGACCTAGGAAGGCACCCAGCCAGCATTTCTCTGCTGGAAGGGGGTAGGGAGAGCTGTGTTCTTCCAGCCCCTGTCCTCCCTCACCGGGCAAGGCACGGGTGAGGGCTGGGAGAAGGGTGGGTGGGAGAGGCAGCCAGGCTCAGCCCTAGCCCAGTCTCCAGGAACAGATATGCCGTCTCTCCAACCTGACACTCATGGGAACATTCCCAGGCACCACCTAGTCTCTGCAAGCCCCCCTCCCTCCCCTCACGGCACTGAGGAAGAAGGACATCCTGCAATGGAAGAGGAGCTGGGAGTGAAGGCCTCACTGTCTAAGATATTGGCCTAAGCAGCGATGAACCTGCCTCTTCTCCCTAGCCCCACCCTGCATACTGAGCAAAGCCTGAAGATCCCACACACACCCTGGTCCTGCCATCTGGGGGACAGTATCCATTCTGTCCTTGCATGGGACGCTCCCAGGGGCAAAGAGGAAGAGGGCCCAGGCCTCCTCACCCCGTCCCCAGCTCCCCAGTGGGCTGGGCAGCCTGGCTCCAGACCTCGAAAGGCCAGATGCTGAGAAGAGCCTGAGGGGAGGCCAGAGGGAGGAGAGTACAGCCCTTTGGACGTCCAGGAGAATGGACAGTCCCGAGGAGGAATTTCTCTGCTGCCCCCAAAGCATTTTTCTCTGTAATATTTATAGGAGAACTCTTGGAGTGCACCAGAGGACTTGCAGTGGCTCTGCAGGGAGAAGGAGCCTGCTGGTGGGAGGGCAGCGACATCCTGCCACTGCCTGGGTCCCTCCACTGAAGTGTGCTCGGAAAAATTCAGGAGCTCCGACAAAGGGGGCTACACTCCCCACCTGAGGAGCCTGAAGGAGCAGAGCTGGGAACCCTTACGTCCCAGACTGGTCACAAACTAACAGAGAAGAGGCTCTAGAACAGCGTCCCCTCCCATCTCCGTGCCTGGGGTCTGCACGGCCCTAGCCTCACCAGTCAGGGAGGGGTGGTGGGTAAGAAAGCAAGCTGGAACAGAGCACCACAATCAATGGGGACAGTGGGAAGGGGCAAGGGCTGCCACCACCTCCTGGCCAAGAGTCCAAGGAGTCCTCTGGTTCTAGCCTTTCTCCCACCTCCATGGGCTCCTAGCTGGGTTAGCACCACCCCTGACGTAACACTCCCCCAACCAGCCCAGAAAACAGAGCCCCTGGAAGCTCTGGCCCCACCCACCCAGTGGCACCTATCCCCAGGCACACAGCACCGGTGAGAGAGAAGGGTGGCCACCTCTGCCTGCACTAGGAGAGCCTGGACAGGGATGGGTTTGAGGTGGAGGAAAGGCAGCTGCCACGGAGGGCTGGGCGTTCCAGCTTTATTCAAATCCTGTTTCTCCACTTGGACATCCCACATCCGGATCAACCCCCACCAACCTTCCCTCCACCCCCATGCAGGTACTTAATGGCACAAGATACGGACCCACATGGGGGTGGGGACGACTGCACAGTCCCACAGGGAGGAGGAAGAGGCGGGGTTGAAGGAGGGAGGGGGAGAATCCGGCTTCAGGCAGGTCCTGGCAACAATGTGGCTTGCACCTGTTATGCTGAAGCCGCCTCAGGCTTCACCCTACTTGTATGATCCAACAAGCACTATGGGGGGAGACCGGTGACTATATGGGGGTCAAGGAGTGGGGGGTGCCCTCCAGGTAGTAACACAACAGAGACTCCAGTGTTAACAACTGTCATCCAGGGTTTCCACCTCTCTCTTCTCTCTCACACACAGAGGATCCAAACTACAGCTACAACGATCTTCCTTGTGCTTCCAGAGATCCTGCTCCTGCCCCAAGAAGACTCTTTTATTCCAGCATGCAGCAGCGATTCCCCCACGGTTCAGCCACCAATGCTGGCTATTTCCATGGGGAACCAAGAGGTCTCCTAACACAGTCCAGGCAGAAACTTCAGGCTGGATCCCTGCAAACTAAGCCACAGCCTCTAAAGTGTAAAGAAAACTACTAGGGGCATGAGGAAGGGGCTGACAAGCTGGCAGGGAGGAGACCCTTTTGGAAATCCAATCCTGGAAGGAGTCAGATGGATCCCAGCAGCTGAAGCTCTATGTACCTTTCCCCCCAGTGTACTGAGAATCCCATCAGCACCCAAGTCCAGGGCGCCGTGTGCCCAGCTAGGCACCCTGAGAGACTGAACTACAGCCAGCTTCCTACAGAATAAGTCTCGACTCCTGGCGCCAACCCTAACCCCCTGAGGCTTCCACCTTGCACAGACACTCCCCCCTACCCCGTTACCCCGCGATGAGTAGATTCTAATCCAATCTGGGTCCTCATCCCGTTCCAACCGCTCCCCACCCCAACGCCAGAGCTGCATCCTACACCCGCTCTCCTGCATGAATACCCCACAACATCCTTTCTATCCGCGCGTACACCCATCTCCTTCATGCAAAAACCCCTAAAAAACCAGAACAGCTCTGATGAGCTGCACGATCCCCGCGGGGATACCTACCCGGCCGGTTCCTGCTCCCCCTGCCCTGGACCAGCACCCCGAGTTGCAGCCTGATCCCGAGTGCGCTTCAGAAGTCCTTCACACTCCCTCAACTTTCGCAGCCTCCGCCACTGGGGCTCCCCGGCTGAACCGACCCTCTTCTTAAGCGCTCCGTGACGCACGGAGAGGGGCGGGGGCGCTTCTGACGCACGGCCTTCGAGCCCTGGCCATACAAGGGCGCGGGGGGCGGTGCGGTTCCGGCAGGAGGCGGCGCGGGCCGGGGAGCCCGAGGGGGCGGAGCCAGAAGGGGGCCTGGAATGTCTCCGCGGGTGACGCACGCGGGGTTCCATTGACGCAAGGAGCCCGGACTGTTTGATCTATAAATAGTCCCCTCGCGCCCACTGCGCAGGCTAAAAATAGCAGCTCGTGGACTCCTGAGGCACCCCCCGCCGGACTCAGGACCCGGCCCGGGGTCCCCAGGTCCGAAATAACCCGCCAGGGAGGGCCACAGCCCGAGGAGAGGGCGCTCTAGAGCCACGGCCGCAGGGCTTCCCCGACCAGGATCGCCTCATCCTCCAGCTGCTCCCGGGAGCCACGACCGTCCGCACCCGCTCCCTCTGGCTCCCTTGACCTGCTCCGCCTTGCACCCTCCCAAGCCCTTCTTGAAGGCCTGGGACTGGGGCGGGCACTCAGGGACGCACCTGAGGCACCTGCACCCCCACCTCAGCCCCATGCACTTGACCAGTCTTTCCCACCAGGGTCTCCCCAGCAAGTTCTCAGGCTACCCCAAGGCTCAGTTTGAGCCTTATTCTCTCCCCCCACTTTCCTATGCAAAGTACCTTCCAGAGGGCAGGAGTTTGCCAGGCCGAAGACGGGCGGGCCAGTGGGCTCTACTCCACCCGCGGAACTTCATTTTTCACCAGTCCCCTCCACAGTCCCTTCCAGGTTGAGTGAACTCTGGTGGGAAATTACCGAATTTCAGAACCGGGTGGAGCCTGAGAAGTCTTTCAGCATTTGTGCAGACTCTTCCCCATTTTATAAATAAACAGGCTCAGAAATAATGGCACTTGCTCAAGGTCACACAGGAAAGTGGTGGCCCACGGGGGGGGGGGCGGCGGTGATGAAACCCAGGGCCACTGCCTGTATCGCTAGGAGGTCTTTTCCCGCTTTCCCCTGTCCCCAGTAAGGGAGCACCCACACTCCCACCTCACCTCCAACACCTGTGTAAAGAGTAGTTCTGATCTGCCCTGTAGGAGCAGGACAGGCCTTCCAAGGCTATATCAGGGCACAGACCAGCCTGCAGCCACCTGGAACCTTCCCGGGTCTGGCTGTCACCCCTCCACCCCCATTCTGCCCCTAGACTGGGGAGGCCCCACTCCCCCGCCCCCGCTAGGTAAGAGAGGAAGGGAGGGTAATGTTCATAAGAAGAGAGTCATCCCCCTACACGTGGGCGCAAGCGCAGGCACACACACACAGGGGACCCATGCAGCCCCCTTCTCCCCTGCAAGTCAACATGACCAGCGTCTTCTTCCCCTGAGCCCGAACTCACCCACCTCAGTCTCACCTCATCTGGTCATCCTACAGCAATCCCCTCTGCCCTTGTGGCGTTTCCTGCACCTCACATCCACCCTCATCTCCCGTCACAGACTCCACCTGCCTGTGTCTTCAGTGCCCCACCCCCCGCCCTCATTCTGCCCATTCAAGGGTCCTGCCAGCACCTCCAACTCCATCCGTTCCAGACAGCACCTGTCATCTCTGCACTTCCTCCTGTCACCCAGTGTCTGCTCCCGATGCCCCACATGTAACTTTTCATTTTTTTCTTGAAATTCTATTTTGGAACATCTTTTGGATCTCCCATTCCTACTGCCAGCCACAGCCCATGCCTCCCTGGTACCTGAAAGCAGCGGCAGCAGACCCACGGAGTGAGGCCAGTGACCTCCCCTTTTCCGTGCCCTCACCCACTAAGAAAACTGCCCCTTAACCATCTTGTCTCCACTTTCCAAACCCCACTGTCCACCAAGGATGGAGCAGTCTTCAGGTAATGCCGATCTCACTCAGAGATCTGATCAGGACCCGCCAGAACTCCCCCACTGCACTCTCCACATGGACCAGTCTTCAGAGATCTCTGGCTTTTCCCAAGCTATCTTCCGGAGATCCTTGAGGGCCACCTGGGTAAAGGGGAAGCATGGGCAAGATAATGCCAAGGCAACCCATCCAGGATCCCTATCCAGGATCCCCACCCCAAACTTAAGTGGAAGTTTGTTTTTATTTTTCGTCTTGGGTTTTTGCAAAGATTTTGCTTAGGGGAAAAAAAGGATCCAGTGTTAAAAAAAAAAACAAAAAAAGGCTTGAACCACCAATATACTTCCTGTTCTCCCATTTTGCAGATTAGGACACAAGGGCTCCCAGAGGAGCTGCACCCTGCTCAGGCCCACAGAGCAAGTCTGGGCTGGTGAAACTAGGCTTGCCACCCAGCCCCCCATCCCACCCAGGGATGCACCCCTCCACCCAACAGGGCCTTCCTCAAAAGATAAAAATAATTTTAACATGTCAGCAAAAGATGATTCGCCAGATCAGCATTCTTCTCTCCATCCCCCACCACACAAACAGGTGTGTTAGCTGTGGCGTGACCTGTGTGCGCTCAAGCCCAGCCTTACCAGTTCTCTGAGAGCTGAGCCAGCCTGGAGCCCTAGCACCTGCCTTTTCTCCCCAACTTTCCATCTGTAAAAAGCAGCACAGGCCATCCCTCCTTGCCCTGGGGAGGCCCACCCAGGAGGCCCACCCAGGATCCCCAGGGAACTCAAATGTGCTGAGGAGCTGTCCAGAACCCTGGCCTAAATCTCCACATCTCAGCACTAGCCTCCAAATCTGTGTCTGCAGCCCAGGCCCCCCCTTCCCTGGCTGTTGCCAGTTTGGAGGCTGCGGCGGTCTTGCTGTTGCAAAGGCAGAGGGGAGGGGAGGCAAGCGCACCTGCCACTTGGCCATGCTTGTGGAGGTGGAGGATGCTGGAAGGACTGAATACACTACACTCTGAAAACAGGAGAAAAAGGCAGAGTCCCTCTGTGGGAGCACACCCAGGGCCACCCATTAGGCACCTATGTGGACGGTCTAACCTAAGACAGTGGAGAGAGAGGTGAGAGGGGTCTGAGGGCCCTGGGCCTTATCCCTGCTGGCCAATGCCCTCCAGGGAGGGTGGGCTGGAGGGTGGGCTGGAGCTCTGACCCGGGATGGCATCCGGCGAAGCAGGACTGCGGGGAAAGGCGTACTTGATGCAGACCTCGGGAGGCCTAGAGTGTCCGCTGTTCCCAGACAGGACCCTTCCCCCTTTAAGAAGTCTAGTCTTCAAGAGCAAAATAGCTCCCGGGAGTGGGGGCTGGGTGGGGGACAGGTAATGATGAAGCAGGTAATGATGGGAGAGGTATCTAAAACTAGAGGGGAGAACTGGAAGGTAAGGAAGGGCCGTGATAACACAGGAAGCGCAGGGATGGAAGAGGTCGAGTTGAAGACCAGACAGCCACCCATGTCGAGCTCCCACGGCAGGCCTGACCCACCCATCTACCCTCGTAACCCTCCCCCCTCCCTCCCCCCATCTACGGGCCTTGGGCTAACCCTTCCCACCACCCGCTGGGCATATCTCTCCTCTTCCTTCTAACCCTGCTGATCCCCCAAGACCTCAGCTCACATGCCAACCTCCAGGACCAGCCTAACTTCATAATAAGCCCATCCTCACCGGGAGTTGGGGGCATGGGGAATACCAGTCAAGGGTCAGCCCAGGGCACTTCACACAGATTCTTCCACTTAACCCACTCCCCAGCCTTCTGGGATTGAATTCTGGACCCCACTTTACAAATGAAGAGATGGAGGTTTGGGAGCAGGACTCAAGCTCAGCTCCCCCAGCTCTCAGCTCTGTGCCGGACCCAGGGCCCCCGTCGTTCTTCCAAGGGCACCGCAGAACCAGGCGCACAGCACGGCCTGTAAGCGGGAAACAGCAGCGGCTGTGAGAGGTCTTTGAAAGGACTGGCAGCGCTCCGGTCCACACTCTGCAGACGGCCACCGTGTGTGCTCACTCTGGAAAACTCGTCCAACTACCCTTTAAAATATCACACCGACCATTCACACACTTTTCTGTATATCTGTTATACTTTCAAAATATACATTTAATTAAAAAATAGCCACGCCTCAATGACAGCGATATACATATATGCAAATGGTGCAGATGCCACTGGAATTTACTGAGTACAAACTCATTCAAGCGTGTGTTCCTGAAATCACAGAGAAACAGTGGCTGTTTCTCATTATTTACTTGCTCCCTCCATACATACTCAGTACACAACTCTGAGTGAGGAGAGGCCATACTATCTGACATTAGAAAAGGGTCTTCGCACGCTATGTTTTCTGTCAACATACTGTGTTTTCTGAACAACTCAGTCAGCCCTTGCCCCTCCTAGTCACGTCTTATGGGTCCTTCCCATGTGTCCGACCACATCCCGTCCCCACCAATGTGTGAACGTGAGGGCAAAACCCTGTCTCCCTCACCACCTTGGCAGGGGGACCCCTCATACATCCTCAACAGTAAGTAGCCCAGGGCCACCCCAAATGTTCCCCAGCCAAGAGGGAGGGTGTGGACCTGGGTGAATAGGGCATGGAGGAAGTGGAACTGCACAGCCCCTTTCCCACAACGTCCCTGAGCCTCGGGCCGGCCCCCTCCGCTGCTGGGCAGAGAGGGCAGGAACTTGCCCTACTTTCACCAAGACCATCCCCACCCACAGGCCTCCACACCCTTCCCTGGGGTGGGCAGAGGGAGTGAGCTTTGCATCCTCTCTCTGAGAAGTGGCCAGGGAGCTTCCCCTCCTCAGCCCCAGGACCTACCACCTGCGCTGACCTGGCCACTTCCTTTTCCTGCCCTGGCAGTGGGCACAGGGATCTGTGCTGGGGGTGGGGACATGCTGCCTACTGCCCCAAGGGGCTTCCCAGGGACAGCTCTGAGAACTGAGGGTACAGAGCAAGGTCCAGGCCACTGGCTCTGACCTCCGGGCCCTGGCCCAGGCCCTGCCACGACCACGCCTCTCTCCCCAGCCCCAGGCAGGGGCACTAGACAGAGGAGCTCTCAGAGGCATCTGTGACCAGGAGCCAGCAAACCTGGTGTGCGATCTGGGGCCAGTCCCTTGCCTTCTCCAAGGCTGTTTCCTCATCTGTCCAATGCAGACAATGTCACAGGTCCCAGTGCTGTGAGAATTCGATCTGCTGCCCTGACTGATATGGCTTGGTGGGCTGGGCATTGTCCTGCAAACAAGGGGTCACAGGTTGATTCCCAGTCGGGGCATACGCCTGGCTTGCGGGCCAGGTTCCTGGCTGAGGGCGTGTAGGAGACAGCTGGCTGATCCATGTTTCTCTCGTACTTCGATGTACTCTCCCTCTCTTTCTCCTTCCCTTCCCCTCTCTCTAAAAGTAAATAAATAAAATCTCCAAAAAAAAAAAAAGAATTCAATCTGCTAACAGAAGCGGGAGGCTCCACAGTGAAATGGAGCAGTGGCTGGGGGCAGGGACCCTGGGGACCCTGGGGACCCGCAGCAGGATCCTAGGACGTGCAGGGAAAGCAGACACCAACTAAGGAGCCAGTGGCCACCTTCTTCAAGAACTGGAGGAAAAAAGCAACCCCATCTCCATCTCTCCCTCTCCAGGGCTTCAGGGAAAGGAAGTGAGAGTGTGCCCACAGATGTGGCTCCACCCAGCACCAGAAAATTCCAGACTCCGTGTGCAGCAAGTGTTCAATTAATACCCTGAAGGAAGCCAGTTAATTAAGGAGGGCAGGCCTCTCTCCACAGAAGTCATCTTCAGTTCAGTGATTTCTCGACCCCCACTCCCTTCTCAGGCCAGAAGGAATTAACACACAGTGCAAAGGAATAAGACTAGACTTCAGGAAGAACAGCCAGAGCTGGGAACCCAGATGAGACCATGGAGTTCCTCTGGGAAAGGTCTGCCCACACCTCGTTTGCTCCCTCCTCCAACCTCTTCTCTGCCTGACCATCTGTTCAGCTCCTGGCCAGCTCCTCTCCCCTCCACCCCCCTCCCCACCAGGGTCTCCCACTGCTGCCACCCTGCAGGACATCAAGGCCCACCAAATTCCCCTGCCCCTGCCCAGGGTCTCCACCCAGCCACCTTGGGCAAAATTTCAAATTCCAAAATAAAAACCCTGTGATAATGAGCCCCAGCCGGAAAGACTGATGCATTTTCCTATTGTTAAAGTATTTTTAGTCACAGGCTCTGGATTCGTTTAGAGACTCACGTTCAGAAAGGGAAAAAGTTTTTTTTGTTTGTTTTTTTTTTCAAGAACTGAAAAGGAGCGCACAGGAGCCTCCCACGTAAGGAGCTGCCGCTTATTCCAGGCCAGGCCCAAGCCCCTGGCCCGGGGCCTGGGGAGCATGTTTGTGGCGGGCTGGCTGGCAGACCTGCCAGGCCTCACTCCAGCTCTGCTTCTCAGGCACCAGGACCAGCTGGGAAGCCGGGCAAGAAGAGCAGGGCCAGGCTGGAGGGCTCAGGGAAGCCGAGCCCAGGGGTCTGCCTCCTAGTCCCAACCAGCTGGGGAACCCGGGGACCCTCCTCCAGAACCTGTGCTGAAGTGCCCTGATCGACACCTGGCTCACTCCAGTGTCCCTCCCCAGCCTGGGCACACCAGTGCCTCACCCATGCCCGGCCAACAGAAGAGGAGGCTCGAGACCCTGTTGGAAATCCCCGAGGGAGCAGAAAAAGGGCATCACACCTCTGGTTCTCGATCACGAAGTGCTCCCAGGTCCCACTCCCATCATGCAACTGTCGTCAAGCCCCTACCTCTCGTTCCTCAGGATGTTGGCCACCCTTCTCCCTCCTCCTCCCCCACTCCTCTCAAGGTTAAAGAAACCACAAAGCAGACAGTCACAATGGAAAAAGGTCCCAATAGTCCAGCTCTTATGCCTCAGTTTCCCCATTCTTAAGACTCACCAGCTTCCTCCTCACAATCTGCTTTGGCTCACAGACCCCGGACAGCTGCACCAAGGGAGAATCCCAGGACTGGATGCAGGCTCTTCCCGGCAGCCTTGGGGAGCTCCGAGGGAAGAGACGTGACTGCCCGGTCAGCCTGTCCTGCCCAGCCGAGGCCGCACACCAGCTGAACAGGCTCAGGACAGGCAGCTCTCCCCAAGCCAGCATGTCCTGCTCTGTTTATATAGCAGAAATCGGAGCCGGCCTCTGGGGACAGGGGGAGCTGCTTCAGGGCCCTCTTGGCTAAAGCCCGACTTTGGCCCAGGTCAGCAAGAGCCCAAAATAGTCAACTGACGGGAGCCCTGGGTGTGCGTGACGCTGGACCCATGCCCGGGCCTGGCAGACAGGTGCCACGTCACAAGACCAGCAGCCCTTGCACTCACGGGGCCCCAGCTGGCAGCCCCTCGGGGTGGCCTTGGCAGCGTATCTGGCATGAGTTCCATCCAATCACCCAGACAACAAGGTGAACACAAAAAAATTCTGCCAGGGGGGCTGCTGTGGACCCAGAAGGAAGGCTGGGAGCTCAGGACTCGGGTTCGAGCTGCGGGCAGAGGTGGGGCCGACGGAGAGAAGGTGCCTGGCCCACTGCTGCCCTCTTCACTCACGTGCTCCCCGAGTCATGATCTCCGGCTGACCGGGGACACCTGCCTCTCCCACTTACAGTGATTCCTCTTCCTGGCCCCAGCCCAAGGCTGGTGGCACAGAGCCTGCCGCCAGCGTGAGGCCAGGTGCACACCCAGGACAGCCCCTGGGAGAGGAGGCCCTGCTTCCCAGGGCTTTCTCTCTTCCCATCCAGGCTTGGGCTGGACATCCACCCTCCCCCTCTCAGCCCCTTCTCTAGGGCGCTCGGCACCCTGAATGCCAACTCCCCAGGGGCAACAGTGTTGTGGGGGCTAGGGGAGATACTGAGCAGCTGTGGCTCCACCAAAGATCTCTCAAGGCCAGAGGAGGGAGGGCTACTGCTCAGAAACAGCCCTCTGTTCTGGGGACGGCACAGGGTCCCTGTCGGGGGTGCCAGCTGGACTCCAGCCCCTCAGGTAAACACGGTAACCAGGACGATGGCGTCCTGGGCCCCTCCCAGCATCTCAGGTCCCCAGAGGAAGGGCTGGTGGAAACCCCATCCCCACCTCTCACTCGCAGATCAGCCGTGCCTTCTCGGGACGGGAAGCAGGCTCAGACAAGAAGGTGTGTCCTCCCCAGCAGATCAGGCCGCTGTGCTTGCCTGGAATCCGGGAGACCTGATCTAAACTTGGCTCTGCACGTCCTCACTGTGGGGCCTTGAAAAGTCACTTCTCCCCTCTGTAACTCAGTTTCTTTGCCCATAAGGAGGGGAGGTGAGCTAGACGGCCAAGGAAACCTCTGGCCATGTCCAGAAGACTGGTATTTTCCCTCGCAGGAATGCCCCATGAATAGTGGAGGGTCTCTCCCCGCCCCTGGTTAGCAAGACCCTCCTCATCACAAAGGCACCTCCCCACACCAGACCTCACAGGACCTTCAGGGCTGCCATAGTGGGGAGGTGGCGTCAGCACCCTTTCGGGGAGGAATGGGGTAATCCCCACCTTCCCTGCATGCACTCCCCTGGTGCGGTGTCTGTACCCTAGAAACAAGCCAGCTTCCCATCCCCCACTATGCTCCCAGCCTGGCCTTGAACTACCCAACCCTGCCCCATTAGCCTCCTGAAACTAGGCACATGTTGCCTTGGGAGCAGCTCTCACCCCCACCCCCCACCATCACCCTTGTCACCGACCCAGGGAGCCCCTCCTCCACCTGTCCTGCTAAGCAAATGAGGCTTCCCCCTTCCCCACCCCCACCTGACCCCCACCACTGTGCTGAGCAGCGGCACCTCGCCTGCCGCCTCTGTAGGGATTCCCCTTCACCCCCCAAACCACATCCACTGCAGGCAGCTCCACACCCACCTCTGCCCCCCACCCCAGCTGCGAGGGGCCCCAGGGTGTACAAAGGACAACGGCAGAGCACTTACCACCCTAGATGAACGGCCAGACCTTGGAAAACACTCAAGCCATCCTCTGGGCCTTCGGGGCCTGGCAAAAGAAGCCGGGACACCAGGGAGGGGCCAGGACTGGCTTCTGTCCATGGTGGAGGCCTGCAGAAGGGGAGTCAGTGTGACTGAGGAGAAACCAGCCAGCAGGGACATTCCCTAGAGACAGCACAAGCCGTAAACACAGCTGTGGGAACAGGGGCAGGACCCAGGCTACCGGGGGACACAAGCTAGCCCAAGGCGGGGCGTCACAGCCTGGGTCCCATGCCCCTGACAAACACTCTTGGGGGTGTGGGTTGTGACCAGGAGACGCTGACAGCATCTGGGGCATCTCAGGGCCATGGAGACACATGGACACACCCAGCCCCCTGGCCTTGTACCCTACTCTGGGGTAAGGGCGCCTCAGTCCAGCTTTCAGCCCCTGATGTGCACAAAGGAACATCTTGTACGCAGAGAAAAGAGAACTACTGTGAAGAGAGAGCGGAACACCCTTCTTTCCTGACCCCCAAGGTGGCCCCCAAAGCCTCAGAGGCCCCACAGGGCAGGGGCTCTGTACCCCCTTCTCCTGCCAGCCCAGCCTTCTAACCAGAGCATTGGGGACTCTCAGGAACATTCTGTGAAGGGACTCCAGTCCCAAAATGGGACGGCCCAGCTCAGAGTAGAGAACTTAAAAGCAGGATGTGCTAGATCCCAGACTGCCTAGGTTCAAGTCCTGGCCTCGTCACCTGTAACCTTGGGCAATTTACAGAACCTCTTTCCTCTACCTCACTTCCCTGATCTGTGAAAATGACAGCCTATAACTGACATCTCTAAAATTTACAACCACAGGGTTTCTATCAGGCTTGAAACGAGTTATGCATACCGGGCTTAGAACAGTGCTGGACACACAGATGTGACGTCAGTTTGAAGAGAAATTAAATGTGGACACATCAAACCTAACTCCAGGCCCTGGTTCCAAGCCGCTCTGGGCACCTGGCCTCTCCTTCTGGAGCCAACCGTGTGCGTACCCCTCCAGCCTCTTCAAGCTCTCCCCACTGACCCCACTGGCACAAAGCCCCCTTCAGCCAGCGCACCTTAGTCCCACATGTCTCCTCCCCCTTTCCCACCCTTATTCAGCCCTCTCCTCTCTTGACTGGGCCCCAGAGGGCAGGACCAGCCAAGGCCTGGCCTGCTCCAGTAATCAGGCTGCCTTCAGGCCATGGTGAGGCCTGGGAAAAGAGAAGTAGATGTGGCCATGATAGGAGGCAGAGGGAGTAAGGAGGAGGGCCCCAGACGGTGAGTGATGGGGTTCCTCCGCCCTCCTGACTTCTGCCCCAACGTCCTCAGCAAAGGGAGCTCCTCTGGCCCAGAGTGCACAGGCTCTCCTCCTACAGAGCCGAAGCTCCCCCATTCCTGAGAGTGTAACGGGAGGAGAGAGGGGAGGCCGAGGGAAAGGAGGAAGGGAGGGCATCCTGGAGCGTCTGGAGGCTTTCCAACCCCAACAGAAGGCAAAGTCAGACTGCAACCCTGCCCCAGCCCACAGGCTACACCTGTTTCCAGGAGTGGCATCATCATCTCCCGCACCTCAGAAACAGGGCTGCAGTCAGGCCCTGGGCCCCCTTCCCTTCTCTCGCTGCCGCCCCACAGCTGAGGAGGAAGGGTGCGGAGGGACAAACTCTTCCTACCAGTCAGACCCCACCTGAGTGCCCAGGTCATCCCCACCTTTGTATGAGAACAGGGGCCAGAGTCGGGGACCCAGTGGTGCCCAGGAAGTGATTCCTAACATCTTAGGGCAGGTGCCTGACCCCTGCTCCTATCGCAGATCAAAGTCCTCTCTTCCACAGTCATTCCATAAATATTTACTGGGAGTCTAACGTGAGCCTAGCAGTGAGCCATGAATGGTAGGAGACCCAAGAAGGAGCAAGCCAAGTCCCTGGGCCCCACAAGGCTACAGTGGGGAATGAATCAAGGTCAATTACAATCAGCACTGTGCAGACGGCAAACCAATGGCTCGAGTGAGCTTGGAGGAGGAAAGAGTGATACCCCCCAAATGGGGTGGGAGCATCAGGCCAGACACCAGTACCCAGCTCCTGCTCCCCGTCCTCACTGTATCCAGCTACGTGGGCTTTCTGTCCCCACGCGGGGTCTGTGCGCTGGCTGTTCCCTCTGTCAGGAAGTCATTGCCCTGGATGTCTGCATAGCTAACTCCTGTCATTAGTCAGGTTTCCATTCTCATTTCCTTGGAGAGCCTCCACCCTCACCCTACCACACTGACCTATTTTTATTACCTCCACAGGACGGATGCTGTTCACTTGTCCACTTGTCTCTCTCAATTACTGCAGTGTGCAGTCTCTGAAACAGAGTTCAGCACTAGCAAGTGCTTAGTAAGTATTCGTGGAATGGGGGGACGGGGACTCATACATATCTGCACTGGAACCGGTCTGGGAGGAGGATCAGCAAGCTGCTTGGAAGCAAGTGGGAAGGACATTGTAGCTAAGGAGCTGTCCCTTCCATTTGGGGGCAGATTAAAAATCTGCAGATTCTTTCCTATTCTGAGTCACAAACCTGATTTTAAGAGCCCACAGCTCTGGGTCCCAGCTGCTTCTCCTTCCTAAAGTATTTGGGTCTTTTCTTAGCTAAACTCCCCCTTGCAACAGGATGTGACTGCAGACCCTCTGGAGCCCTGCTGACCTCCTAGGCAAAAGCTCTGCATTGGCCAATGTCCTGACCCAGAAGTGGGCATATTACTATACCAAACTATAACAACAGCAACAGATATATATGTTGAAGACCATTTGCTAGGTTCATTACTAAGCACTTTACATGCATTTTCTCATTTCAGCTTCAAAACACCATGAGGAAGGGATGATTATTATGAACACTTTACCAATAAGGAAACTAAGGCACAGAAATGTTAAGCCCCTTGCACAAGGCCACATAGCTAGGAAGCAGCAAAGCTGGAATTAGAACCCAGGGAGCCCAACCAGGAGGCCCAGGGCCAAGCATTCTGCTTCCCCCTTGGATCTGTTCAGTGGGCAAGGGTCTCTGCAGAGAGCAGTTTCACAGCCAACCCCAGATAGCAAGTGGGAAGCTCCAGGTCCCGGGCTGCTGGGCATCTCAACCAGGCTCTAGTCCTGAATTCCTGACCTAATTTTCTTAACTTCAGCACAGGCCTGAACATTTACTATCAGTCACATTCATCTTGT